TTACATGTTGCAGATGCATGGACCTGATGGCGGGGGATGCCATAACTGACCTGCGTCGGCGAGGAATATAGCGACCTTTTCGCACATAAATATTCTCACGAAATACCATGCACGAAATACGCATTCAACACGCGCCACACCGCCAAGCAAGTATGATATGAGGTTTTTTTTTGCTACGCATTTTTCGATCAGGCCAAATCTTGCAAGCTAGTGTACAATTGTCGAGCTGTGATTTGTTGGCATCTTTTTATTACTGGATTATTGAATTAAACGCCATTTTAACCGGTTTTCATTAGTGAGCAATTCCAATTTTCGGCGTGCAAAATTGACTCCGCTCGCGTTCATTTTTGCGGAGCGCTACCGCCCTCGGGCGTGCATCTGCCATGGAATCAAGTCTGCTATAGCTAACTCTGTTAGTGATAAGTCTCACCTGTACCCACTACCGTGCCGGTATGTCTCTTTTTGCTCGCATTTTGTTGTCTTCTCAGAATTTAAAACTGTGCGGTACCTTGAATACAATATCCTATTCACAAAGCGATTATCTTTCTCTTGTGGTTGTGCGAAATGAATATAAGACCAGAAACGTACAGAAAGCTAATGCTGTGGAAGTTGCAAGGTTATTTAACATCGAAATGAAGAAAAGGGTGGGTAAAGAATACAAACTCTTAAATATAACATCATCATCATCATTGATACATTGAAAGGACCAAAAAAAATGTTTCAAAAAATTGGGAGATATGAAGTGGCTCATCTGCATTATAATTTCAAGCCTGGATTAACATGTTGCGAAGATGAAAGTGATGTTAGCTGTTATTTTATTTACAGTGATAAAAGACATGTTGAAAAGCTTCGCAAATATTTCCCTATGGGATCATTATTGTAAATTTGCTGCTGTAATTTTCCTACATGTGCTATTTTATCAAAATGTATTGTGGTTATGTGTGAAGACTATCAAGTATTTTAAATATCGATAATCACGACCTGAATATATCATTTCAATGAAATATGCAATTTGAAGTTCTTAGACTGGTTAATTTTTTATGATTTGTTTTTTACTTCCAACTGTCGTTTGTACAAACTGTAGCACTGGTAGACTTGAGTGCTTAATTCTTGTTAGATACGAAGTGGACTTATGTATCTTCGTTATTATTGTTCTTTTTGGTATTTTCCTTCTTGTTGTTATGAAAAAATCGCTTTTCTTATTGTCCAATTGCTTTGAAATTTTCAATGGTTCGAGAATGTATTTTTTGCTAGAAGGCAATTAATTTTATTTGTTTCACTACTTTTTTGTGGGCTCCAATGTGATATGTTTTTCATATCAAAATTTTGTGCGATGACCTCATTTAAATTATGAAAAAATATTTGTAGCGATTCTTCGACCTCTCTCTTGCTATGCGAAAGTTTGAAGTTTTTTGAGGGTATCGTTACCGTAAAAGGCAAGGTACACTACTGCTACATTTAACCAATAAGAATACCCCAAACAGAGTCCCGGAGTTATTTGACATGTTACGAAGCCTCAGGAAGGACGCCCGTCATTTTGATCAGCCCAATGCGATTTACAATGTTGATGAAACTGAGGTAGAAAGTGTCACAGTTGAGCCTTGCTGCTCTTTTGCAAATTTTAGTAGAACTCCATTGGAATTTTGGGTAGCTTCTAAGGAATTTTTCAGGCAAGGCCAGCAAAGCAGAGAACCAGACGGTAACACTGTCAGCTGTTGCAGAAACAGCGCTATCTGGCTGGAAAGCTCCAGTTCACAGAAAGAAAAAAGAAACGTAAGAATGAACGACGATTAGGGTATTGTTTGAGCAACTATTGTATTGTCTGCAACGGCGATTGTTACGACGAATATGAAAACGGGGTCAGTTTCAGGAATCCCGAAAGTGGTTTCATGATATTTGCTCCGTTGTTAATTAATGGAAGAAACATTGTGTCATTTCACTGTGACGTCTGCTTTGCTGAACCTACTTTGTATACATATATTCTTTCCCGTGCTAAATTTCATGACTTTAACTGTTTCGTTCTCTATTTATTCTTCACGCAATCACACGAGTTCTTTCGTTGTTATGATTGGGATTTATGCAATACTGCAAGCGAAACAACATTTACTGCTTCAACTTTATGGGCTATGCTATGATTGTCAGCTGCTCAATTCTACGGGGTAAGATGAACACAAAGTGAATTTTTTATTAGACCAGTATTCTTTTAAATATATCGTTTATTTTGATATTCTGAGAAGAAACCGAACACATTTTCAGTATTTTGATAAGATTCTATTACCAGCAGGTAAGTGTCTGACATATTCGATCATATGTCCATCTTCCCCAAGTTTTAGGGATATTTGACTATTATTTATATTTTTCACTAATCCGACACTAGATGGCTTTGTAATTACAGAGAGGTTTTGCGTGATAGGCATGTCAGTTACATTGAGATGAAAACGTGCTACAGGAAGCAAGTCGAATCTGTTTTATGGATGCGTCAATTGCGTAGCCGGATGTCACGTGATTATAGCTCCCACAACATAATGTCACGAACTATGATTCTTACGCACTGGTATAAATATTCAAAAAGTTAATGAGATTAACCTGTTATTTTACAGAGACGATATAGGCAATGATCTTAAAATGCACGCCAATTCTCGCCAAATTTATGTTGGGTAACTTCTGCACTGGAAAGACACTTGTCACAAAATAGAAAAACCACAAATAAAAAAATAAATATGACGAAAAACTAATTATCATGGGCGTCATCGCAAAGTCAATCGCTTTGAAATATCTCATTCGTAGCCCCGGAAACTATATTGAACAAAACGCTGCATCAATAATAACTGAATGCCATGAATGCCACGAACAGAAAGAAAAATTCAGAAGTGGGAAGCTTGGATGAGAATGACATGACTCCGGCTGTGGAAGTCAGAATATGGAAATGTGATTTTATATACTTTTGGTCCCAATGAGGAAACAAAAATCATTAAAATTTGGAGTCACATGGTCCACTCATGATTCAAAAAAAGGATTTATTTGGTCCCGAAAAGCATTAAAAGCTGGGGATAGCACATGCCTAATAACGATTTCGATGCCCAAAGCGTGAAGGAAATAAAATTTATGTTCGTGGCGAAAAAAATCATGTGGGGTATATTTTGGTCGACGCGCGCACCAGGGTTATTGACAACAACAACTTTCGCTCGTATTTAATAAGACAAGTACAGTCTATCCTGCCAATACTTAACTAAGTACTCTACGATCAACAAAGCGTAGGCACATTTTACTAAAAAGCATTAACATTTTTAAGTATAGATATGTGATAAATATTAACATCCATTATTTTAAATGTGAGAAGATTTGTCATGAATTTGGATGCCATATTTCGTTAGTTCAATATAATATCATTCAAGCATTACTCAATGCCAGTGAAGTGACGTTGCGGATATGATGATACGTCATACTCAATTCACTCACATTTCAATCCTATGCAGCTCAAGAACGTTGAGCGTCAGCACGCAGGATGCGCTTACCTTTTTCGACTGACTGTTTACGTGATGTATCTTATCTCACGCTTATTTGCGCGAAAACTTCAAACCTTCGAGTTATCAGGCAATCACGCGAAAAGGTTGGAGGTATAATTCTGCAAAAGTTGGGGAATCACTTGGTCGAACGGGATAGGAAAACAGAAATGTTACAATGAACCCACAAGAAGCATCACAGTATGCGTAGATATAAACTAAATATTTTGGCAAGAAGAGAAGAGTGTTGGCAAGGTGTGGATATAAGAAATGCGCGGTAGTAGACATGAGGTTATGATAGTTAATCTATTACCACGCATTAATCACAAACCTTCTGCATATAAATCGATCTGACTCGTGCCTAAAAATTACTCAACTATGCGTGCAAGCTAATATTTGAGCATATTTGCTGAATGATATTCGAATTCAAATGTTCTAACTATGAGTTAGACGGACTCGCACTGGAGTCTGTTATGTTATTTTTAAATTGGAAATCACTAGCTTTGTATTATTAAGCTGAGATTGGTGAATTTTTCTGGAAGTAGGCTACGTTGCCCGTCAAAATTGCTAAGTGTAAGAAAAAGGAATGATAAATCATCAGAGATTTGTCGATCAAGTTGTTTTCGGTTTGGTTTGTAGACAAAAGGTTCTATCGAAAACTGTCCTTCGATCGAATCATTTCATTGCAGTTATAATGCTTTCGAAATGACGTTTAGTTGTGATATTTGATAGCTCGTTGCAAATTTCATTCCCGGAAATTGAGTCAACTGCTGAATTTCGCATGGATTTCGTGCCCGATGGAAAATAATAACAGTATGGTCTGTTGGTGTTATTTAGTAATAAATAATAGGGAAGTAGCTAGCGCTTAATATTTGATATGAGTCAGAGCAAAGTAGAAAGAGAATTGTAACACGACAAGCAAATTTCATTATCACGTTCATCTACGCAAGGATTTAGACAAGCTAGGTTCTGAAGTCTTCGTTCATTCGACTTCTGTATTGAAAAACGCACGGTTTGTAATCTACTTCAAAATTGATAATTATTCTTGGTATATATATATGTCCCACTACATATAAGCACGTTCGAAAGAGATCATCACTTTTGAGATGAAACCCCGGTCGTGACTTCTTTATATACAAGCCTACTTTCTGTGAACAAAATTGTTCAAGTCAAAGAAGCATTGAATCGAAAGCCTCTATATACTGTAGTCACTTCAATTCTGGAAAACCAAATTAACCCGATCCGTATGAAAATAATGAAAAACAAAATTAAATAAGTGGTCACAATACTAGTGATATGGCAAGTATATATTATGAGTTTGTTGAACAGTAAATGCAGGAAAAACGGTATGCGCGAATACGACCAAGAAAGTTTCTATGGAAAATAGAATTTCAAACAGTATGCAGTTTAAAGAGAATATCTTGCCCCGTGACTTACCTTAGCAAAGAGAGCAGCAAAAATTAATTTATTAACTCCCAAATTCAGATCTTGCGTTATGTTTATTACGTCCTAAACTAAAATGGACTTTCGAATTATTTTGCTAATATTTGTTTTTCCTCACACCTTATTTGTACATTGTCTACAGCCGGACGAACGATGTGAAAAAATTACGAAATGTAAGTAGCATAATCTGATAAAGAGCACTATTCAGAACTGTAATCATTTATTTGTATTTCTGCAAAGTTAATTGCTTGCGTAAACTTCAAATTTTGGTAGATTGGTCACTCTTCGGTAAAAAGCAAAAAAACTATTTGCTATACAAGCGCTTGATAATGCTATGTATGCACGACATGAGCATTTCCGTATATTTTCATATTCCAAAATCACACCTTCGAAGGTTGAAGTCATTGAAATTTTACTTTTGGTCATTTATAAAAAATTTTGGGACCCATTTCTGGTATTTTCACATCTATTGCGCACTTTTAAACGGGTGTATGCTTCGCACATGTCATCGTTTTTCATTCAACTTCTCAAAAACCAATTTTGGTAGTTATTGCAGTGCTGCCTATCCTATCAATATCATATTATGTATGACGAATTGTTTGGTTGTTGGATTACTTATCCTTTTTTCAGCGACAAAAAATAATAATTCAACTTTTACATTATAGCTCATCACAAAGCATGTGAGCTGTTTGATTATACTGAGGATCGTACTCTCTCTTGTTCTGCAACTGACGGCGTCATCACAGAAAAATCACAATGTCTGGGCAACGGATGTTGTTGGCATAATAACACTTGCTTCAAAAAACCTGGTTTGTGGTTATTAAATTAGCTGTATTTATATAAATGTTACAGCAAATGCCAATCACCGTACTGGTGCAGAGGTACGGTTTCACGAATACTCTATACTCGCCAAGTTAGTAACTCAGAAGATTATGGTCGATAGTCTGATGACACAAGTTAAGGAGTTTATTATCCAGCATAAACTCACGATTCAGTTAAATGTAGAGAAACGAAAACACGACAAACCTTAACAGCAGACCGACTAAAGATGGAACAGTCTCATAATGGGTCACGTGACAGTGGTGCTCGGAGTCAGGGGTGAATAATAAAATCTACTCTGTTGGAAAATATATAAGTCGAAACCATGACTATGACTCCACACACTTTTGTATACGACCGTAAGATAGTATTAACAAATAAAACAATAAAACGGGGTGGGATGTAATTTTTCATTTTCTTTTTTTCCAAATGAGGCTGTTTGTCGTTTGGGCTATGAAAAATCACACTTCGTTTGATATTGCACTTTATCGTAATTTGTAACTTATTCTCAGTGAAATGCTATCTGGATTTTCGAAAAGAACGCTGCAACATACGAAGAGGAATATCAGCATCTGGAATTTATGAAGGTTATTCAATTAACGGAAGTCATTGCTTCATTGACAATCTTCAGTCCATCTTTGAATCTCTTTCAAATGTATTCGCGGGAGCAGTTTCACATTATGGAGTAAGAATCGTAGGAGAATACGGATGGAACAAATCCTGTGTATCTTGGATAGAGACTAATTCAACAGGATATTCTGATGGTAGTATAATGTATTTCGTTCCTTAAAATGACCATATCAAGTATTGCTAGCATTCAAGTCAACGTGTAAAAATTGTATTGATAATGATTCAGTTTTTGTCTATATTTCAAGTATCCGTATTATAATGTTGTTCCAATATATTATCTTCTTCTCTATATCGTTTTTAATCAATTAACAGGTATTCAATTACTTAGAGGCTATAGATGTAAGTAAAACTGTGAGTTCCCCTCTAGGATTAAATGGATTGACGACTACTCAATTGTAGTTATCAACATATATATCTCTGTCGTGACTAAGATATCAATGAATAGGGTGTAGAGAGAATTAAAAATAAAAATCTGTTGGAAAAGGTAGATGAAACGAAATTCAACAACTATTCAATTCTAGGAAACTGTACTGTTGAATTCCACGAAGGAAAATACGATCCATTGGATGGAACAATCAGATCAGACAAATGTGTGATAGAAGTTAGAAACAGATTTTACACATTTGATGTTGGTGTTTCGAATTCGTGTATTTGTCACATGGACGCTTGGCTCGAAAGTAAATCAGGTATATAGATGACAAATTTCCAACTTTACCGAAATGTGCCGGAACCAACCGATGCGTTGTGCAAATGAGAATTGAAAGATAAGATTTCAGTATTGTCATAATGGGCAGAAATCATCACTAAACAAACAGTTATTATGCTACAATAAATAAAAGATGCGCCCTTTGAAGCCACTTTTAAATCCGGTTTTTGTAATAACCTCCCATTTACAAAATGTCTAGAAAAACTTTCGATTTCAAATACAATTCGGCAATACGTTGAAAAAGAAGAATCTCGAAGCAGCTGCGCACAAATTCTGGGTAGACTGGTGCGAGACTCGTGGAAAAATCGTCTGGATATTGTTAACAATGCGGAAGTTGGGGTTGTTGTCAATGCACTTCTAAATATAACTAATGAAAAGGTTTGATAATGTTACATTTATTAAGCAAATTAGTTGGACCTACCGGTGTCTGAGGTTGTCCCATCTAGATGTGATACATTTTCTAAGCTGTGTCAAAAAATCCACTCATTTCAAACATAGTAATTCACCAAGTGAATATTTGTTAGGCTGTTGTTCAGGACATACAATTATTAAGGATAGGCGTTGAAAAAATATTTATTCCGTATGCAAGGATTGTGGTTTAAATTATATATATCTATCCAATCGTCTCTTTTTCAAAATGTCTTCTTCAAAAAATTAGTTATTGCGCTGTGATTAGAATTGAGACTATTTTCGACATTAACAGGTTACTACAAATGACGCTGCCATACTACTGGATACATCCGAACAGTTGTCGAAATATAAATTTTATGAAGGTCTTGAAAACGACTCAGCAAACTTTCTCATACAGGTAAAAGTTAACTCAAAATTATTTTAAAACTTTTCCAATGAAATGCTGGGTCTGTCGAGTAACGGCTTCCCGACTGTGTAATTCCCACGTCCATTCTCTTACTTATTTGAAAAAAAAATTTGAAGTAGTACGTGATAAAAATGAGCTAAAATAATTTGTTACAGTCTAGTACCAAAATTTTGAGCAATTTGATGAAAACGGTAACATCGGAAGAAGATGAAGAAACACTCCAAAAACGATCATTAGAACCTTCTGGTAGGTATTTATATTTTTTGTGTAGTTTCCACATTTTCACAGCATTCACATATGAAGTACTGAACGCGTAGCAATTTTCGGTGTATCGAAGAATTCTTTGTGTAACATAAATGGGGCATTTCTAATTGCGATGGTTTACTTTCTGACACACTTGTCCGTTACTCATGTTGAATATTAAATTGGGCGGCACTAAGTTAAAGCTATTCTAAAATCTAAATATGGCATTGATTACTAAATGAGTATGGTGCCTAAATTAAATTTGCTTTTTTATTCATATGAGAAAAGCGGATGATTTTTATTTTAAACTGTTATTTAGAGCAAAGTAATTGATTGTCACATGCCATCATACCACACAATATGACTTTTTTGTGAATAATATACTAGACTCACTTCTTAATGTTTCTAGTCACACAGCGGAGGCGAATTTTCAAGTTTAGATACTATATTAAGTAAATTAATTGTGTTTCAGTAATATTGTTAACCTCTGAACAAATATTTTTGTCGATTATGAGAAAAAAGCAAACGCGAATTGACTTTATAAACTTGTTCGACTCTGTACAAGGAACGAGCTAATATAAGAAAATCTCTTAAAGCCAACTCATGACGAACAATGTATATATTGAGTAATCGTTTTCATAACAGTAACAGTCGGCAGTTCGCGCTTCCCTGTACTATAGCATTTGAATAAATTGACAAGGCTTAAAATCGTTATAAAAATTCATCTATTCAAAATTTCATATTTTTTGATGTCCTATTTTTTGTGTCATTCATGGCAATATCTTTATGGGCCTTCTACAGCGTTACAAGACGTTCCAGCAGATTCGACATCATATCGTCATTCGTCGACTAAATTACAGTGGAAAATTATGGAAAATTTAGAAGGAATTACTGATAATGCTGCTTCTCTAATTAACTTGGATAACTACGAATCAAGTGAGAATATTTAATGACATTATTCACGAATTTTAAAGCATAATTGCAAATGCTTCAACTGAACTACAAACTACATCAAAAAATTTCATTACGGACTATGTTATTAATTTGGAATGTTGATGTTTCTTGACTTCTTCGAAACAAAACAAAAAATGATATTGCATATGAATGGCAACTGGAACCATATGTCTATACCTACTCCCGACTTGCATTTATTTTACTAATAATAACGAATAAGTAAATTTTAAATTATATTCATTTAATGAAAAGTTATTAAAGCATTCGCCCATAACAAGGCACTGTGCTCCAGTTGTTTGGAAATGTAATTTCACCATTCGGCGATTACGCCCACCATAATTGATGAGCTAGTTCTGAATAGAATATTAATATAAAAGCGATCAATATTCACTGTTTGCAACTTCACACAGAATATATCGTAAGCGCTAGAGAAGAAACTGTTAGCTTACAAGTTGCTATAGCTAAGCCTGCATATTTACATGAACTGGAAAATATTCCGCACGAGGTTGAAGACAAAACGACATCAATATTTCAACAAAATGCACGTGTGACAGATCTCACGGATTATGAGAAAGGTATTTTCAATCATAAAACATCGAATTTGACAATTTAGATATATCCCTCTTTATGCCTGTTTTGGATTTCTTTATTGCTCTCCCACGACGCATAAACACTCTGTTTCGGTCATTTTTTCAATCTTGAAAGCGTCCATTTGGTCATGTTACGTGAGACTCGCACTCTGGCTTTTGCAGTTTGCACAGTTAAATAATGTGCGCTTAAATATGTATCACAATAATACTAAATAAATAAACAACATTAACAACTACACCGACTGTTAATAACAAAATTATTCCCTGAGCAGGAATTCATCCTGGCGGAAAAACGCTAAGGGTAAGAGAGTTAAGAAAAGAAGCATCAGTATGAGCATCTTTCTAGCACAGTATTTTTAAAGAAGAAAAATTGTAGGACGTTTCACCATTATACTCATGGCGTGATATATCTCGAAATACATTATAGTATACTTAAAATTAATTTTAATTTTTTAGACGACGATGATGGGAATCTGGCGGTGATCACAATATTTTATGACCTGCCGGAGAAAAGTGAAAACAAGTCAGCAATAAACAGGTAACAAAGTAAACAAATATTGGAGACCGATGAAATCTTTCAAATTTTTAACAATTTGCGATCCGTTCCTGCATTGGCCATGACGTATGCATGCGGAAGTAGCGTTAATGAAACAATGATACGATTTGACCTTATTTACCCCAGGAAACAATAACGTATGAAAAGCAGAATTTTTATGTATTAGGGAAGTGTTTCCTAACCGGGGAGGAAATCTTCCACATGAAAAATTTTTTGGTTTTCGGAGAGAAAATACAGAAATAATATTTTTTTATTCGGTTTAGTATTGTTTAGTTATTTAATAATACATATTTATGTAAATGTTATTGATTATCTAAACTGTGCTAAAGCTGTGCGATGTCAAACTAGCTAAGGGTCGTTGAAGGTTATAGAAATAATGGAGAAACATAAATTTTATGCATGAAGAGAACAATATTAGCCGAATAAAGCAATATTCCGAAAAGATTGGGAACCGCTACTTTGGGGTGGTTTATTCCGACTGCTTGCCCTACATTGATTGCCAAAGTAAGGCCCAAATAATCTGATTTAACTTAACTAAAATATAAATTTGATCTATATAAATTATCAAATTTTAGGGCCAGTGACATTCTCGCGATCAATGTGAGATCAATGAAAGATGGAATTATAAAAGAAAAATCTCGCTCTGTAGAATTCACATTGAAGAAATCTAGCAATTCATGCAACGGTACATGCGAAGATGTATGCGTGTACGCTGAACAAAATGGAACGATGTATACGTAAGTCTAATTTTTTTTGGTAAAATTAAAAAAATCCTAAATGAATTGTTGTGTAATTCATAAGCCATTCAGCTTATTCATAATTCATGCAGCAACTCCGTAACTTTTTTCTTAACTCAATATGTCCGATATAGCCTTCGCACTTTCCCAATGTCTCCTGTTCGTATTTCTTGCATATTATGTTATATTCTTATTGGATAATTTTAAAAAGCTACGAATTTTCTCTATATCTCTAGAGTCTAAAATTACATGATGTCATTTTAAATATAAGACGTTATTTCATTTACATATAGCTCCCCCAAAAAATTATGCGTTACTTACTCATGTTTCGTGTTTGCCTGGCCTTCAAAGTTGGTCACATGAGAATGAGTGAGTCGTTTACAATGGCTACAGGAAGAAAAATAATGTAAAAAGTGAATAATAATAAAATTAAAATCAAGTATTTTCGAAATTTTGTTAGAGAAAAATGGAGCGATTATGGATGCCACGTAAATCGATCAGAAGAAAACTACACAATCTGTCATTGCAATCATACAACACATTTTGCTGTTCTTTTGCAACCATATCGTGGATCAGATGGCGGTAAAGATGAGGTATATATATATATATATATATATATAAACGTTCTGTGGATATCATTCAATTTTCAATAAGGATGCGTGGAAACTAAACACACTGAATATTTTACATGGATTTGGTGATCAGTTATGGCATATATGATTGTTTAAGATAAATTCTTTATACAGGAAATTCTTTATTTTTTACCATCAAAATCGAAGCATAGGCATATAGGGGTGTGCTTGATGAGGGAAAATATGCCACACTAAATAACTTAGCGGGTCGGGTGTGGCCCGCGGGCCCGTTTCCTTGTTTACTCTTTGTTTATTGGAGCGTAATTCGATATCTTAACTTCCCTGTTAGTCAAATTCTTGGTTATAGCAATAAAATTCGTTCAAATGATTAGATTATGATTGCGGTAAAACGAATGTAAAGTCATACAAACAACTTTACAATAGTGAGCTTTCTTTTAGTGAATTATAAGTGCCCTAATGTTTTTATACTTTTTTTAGTTTTCGAAGAACGACATTCAAAATCTGGAACTGATATCCATATGCTTAGGAAGCATATCAGTAGCAGCGTTGGCAGCAACAATAATTGTGTTTATCGTATACAGGTTTGATTTTGTATTATATATATATATATATTATACTCGATCAATATTAAAATATTACTTTGGCTTATTTTCACAAACAGCGTATAGTATTATATAAATAAAGTAAATTCAATCAGAAAGGAAAATAACTGAAGTGAAATTGCACTTATTTGTGCACAAATACTTTCGCTCGCTCTTGATTAACAATGAATATGCATTGCGGCATCATTCCGTTTCGAACTTGCATTTTTTTTTATGCGAGGATGTCAAAATCAATCAAGTAGGCCTTTTTTCATTATACCACCCGATATACGTTTCAAATCATTTTAATCTGAAGACTATTGGGCACGCTAACCAAATGGGTAGCCTAGTACCGCGGCTGGTGGGTCGAGCCCTGCTCTAGATTAAAATTTACTCATATTTTTAGGCGCATCCTTTTGAAAGATCGCATGCTGATTCATCTACATCTTGTCATAGCACTGTTTTGTGGATATATTTCATTTCTGGCCGGTTCAATGTTCAGTGATCGATACTTTGTGAGTTAAAATTTTGCTCTGTTATATTCGAATAGGAGTAATAATCGTAAAATACTGCCAGTAACCTCAAAATCTAAAAATGAACAAAATTAATTTTAAAATAAAAAAAGGGGTTTTCTAGTTCTAATTTCCAAGGTTATTGCACTTCTCCCGTGTAAAATTAAGTTTAATATAAAAGTTTCGCATTTATAAACGGCAATGACCTATGTTATAGAAATATACTTTATGTCATCGGTAACTGTCGGGCTTAAATAGAATCTATATATATATTCACTGTATGTGAGGCACCCTCTATCAGTTGCCTGACTATATAAGAGTAGATGGTTTTTCCTGGTGTGCATTGAATACTATTAATAGTAGTTAGGCATAAAATAGTGTTTATCAAACACGGAAGCATTTTGATTCACATGCAAATCGTTGAATGGTTCTCAAAATGATACAAGTAGTTGAAATTGAATGAGTCTATGAACTTCCACTTCCCCTCTGGTTGGCAACTATACAAAACAATAAAATAGCAGTAAACGAGTGACAGCAACGAAACTACCTGGTAAAAAATAGAAGTGATTTTGAAATTTCTTATTTCTATTTCAGAATAAACCAATTCCTTGTTTCGCCTTTGCGATCGCATCTCATTTCTTCTTCCTGTCGGTATTCTTCTGGTCACTGATGGAAGGTGTCTATCTATTTTACAAAGTCGTGATGGTATTTTCCCATAAATGGGCAGAACTGAGCGCAAAATACGCGCCAGTTATAGGATGGGTTTGTCCGGCTGTAATCGTTGCTATATCTGTCGGGGTTTCTCGGATCCTGGTTACATCAGATGAGATAGAGGTATCATTTTAGTTTTTAACATGATTCTTTTTAGTGTCTCTCTAGTACCTTTGCTAAAAAATCATTTTCTCTAGTTTCCAAGCGAGTTCTTGTGACGTTAATTTAAAATAATATATATTCTAAAAAAATCGTTTTGTGTTGAATGAGAAAAATGTCCCTTACAACGGATATCATTATGGCACCATACAGCATCAAATACTGAAAGAATCAAATCGAGCAATAAAAATAAATATATATATATATACCATTCAAAATAATAATTGTATATATATATATATATGCAGTGTGTTCGTCAAAGCAGTAATTTGCATTCAAATGAAATCGTTTGTGGCTTGCTCAATACTTTTAGAAGTTTCTCACAATTTAATATAAATATTTTCGACTTCTCCCGTATGTCGTACCAGTTGAAACAGAACTCTTAAATTGAATCTATTCTCTTTTCAGAATTATGACAACTATTATAACATTCACACTTGCTTTCTCCAACAATCACATGGAATGCTATGGTCATTTATGGGACCAATTCTTGTAATTATTTTGGTGAGTTCCGATTTGATACTCATAACTTTACTTGTGGGACTTACTCACATATAACATTTAAGACAACAAATTCATACAGTGCGATCTTTATCGGAAATTCAGAGTAAGAAGAAAAGTGAATTTTTCGTTTCTTTTTTGTATTTCAGATCAACAGCGTGATTTTGACCAAAGTAATTTTTGTGATATTTCGTTCTTCATTATCATCGACGAAAAATGCAAAAGCATCAGATAAAGAGAAAATGTCTCAATCACTAAGGTATATTTTGCTAGAACGATACACATTTTTCATATATATATATATATATATATAACCCGGGAATGGGAAATGCAATAAGGCGGATTACTCATATGGAGCACTACTTCCTCCAGTTAGCAGACCAGTTTGGACATAACAACAGCTAGCCAGTCGATCGTTTTAATAAACATTGTCGCTGGGGGACAAAGGGACATATTTAAGATAACCCTTCAAAGTGCATTTCAACCGACACGTACCTAACGTGAATTATAGACTCAAAACAGACATTCAGAATTGTTTCTTTTAAAGCGTGAGCCAAATTGGAATCGTTTTGTTTTACATAAGACATCGATTTTCGATCATTCTAGAATTAACAAGCTTCTTACATTCCAGAAACGCGACTAGAGGAGCCCTTATTTTGATGCCGATCCTCGGGATACCTTGGATAGTCAACGTATTTGTAGAGTTGGATGATTCAAGTCATAAAGCTGTTGTCAGTGCTTATGTCCACGTTGTTTTAATGGGATTACAGGTGAAATCCGGTCATGAATACAAAATCTTTTTCCAAACGGCTAGCAACGCACAACAAACGTTGCCGCCACTGCAATAAACGAACGATCTTCATTGCGTAAGGGCTCACAGAAATCGGCCATAGGAAAACCCACTTGGTGGCACAATATCACTCAAGTACACTTCAAGTTTATGAGAAACAACAACAGGTCACGAGAAACTAAATCCAAAAACATTTACCTTTATTTGGAGATTTTAATCAACCATAGCTTTACTTTATATCCAATAATGATATGTCACATATCTTCTATAAATGTAACTGCATAAATAACCTCATTTTTTCAATTACAGGGATTGGGAATATTTTTGTTTTACTGCGTATTCAACACAGACGTTCGCAATGCCTATAGACTTTCAGCTGAGAGGAGGAAATCAGTAGCATCTATTGTAAGTGGATTTCAATTCATACATTCTGATTTTTATTGTACCATACTTGTTTTCTGGTTGACGAAACAATTAATCTCTCTCTCTTTCAACTGGTTGAACTATTGAATGGAAAACTTATCAAGCAGTCAAACTATTCATTTCCCCCTCCTGTGCGCTTTTTGCTTTTTTGCTTTCACTACTAGTCATGCTTTGTTCGATCTTTGTATTTGCAGCTATTTCAAGCCTGTCTGTAGGCTACTATACCACTTTATTTTTGTGCTCTTCGATCATTCTATGATGGCTAACATATTTTTAAGGCTCTATTTCATAACCATAAGGAGCACTTGCATAGCACTCTTATTGAAATTTTCTGTGTTCAATATTTGTTAGCAAACTTATCAAAGCAATACATCTATGAAATCAATTTGGAATTTTTTTTAGTGATTTTGCAAATTTACACTTATTTCCAATGTTCAAATCTTCATGCTGCCTTGGTAATTTTTTTATGTATTTGAAAGCAAGATGTTTCCCACAGCTATTTACTTATTTAGAAATACACAATCTAGAATTCCAGCCCCAGAGTTTGCTGCATTCAAATATTCAAAATCAACTTCATTTATATATATGATATGTGGGGTAAATTCTGGTGATTACCATAATTGGACGGAAGAGGTCGTCAGAAGTCTATTACATTTAATTTATCTACCTAAATTTTGTTATATTTTGTGTAAGTTGTCCACAGATCCCTTAAAGCATTGCCCGATTCTGAATCGTGTTTTTTGTATTCTTGTAATAATATTATTATTTTTTTTTTGGTGGGCGGGCGCGTACTTTTACGTTTTTTAACTTTATTTTAAGTTATGCTCGCCTTCCAGGTATCTCTGCATTTTGTTTGTTTGTCCCGTTTTTGTGTTGTTTTGTTTTTATGTCAGAGTACCGAAATAAATGATTGATTGATTGCACTCTCACGTGCGTTGAAACGAGAACGCTTGGTGAGCACAAGCGTACCTCCTACGATTGAAAAATATCATACATGGCAATCATTCAAATTTTTCATTATCCCTTTAGGCATTATGTCTTGTAATATCTTGATGCGCCTCTCATATGCTCATAATAAACTAAGTTTTTTTTGCTAGACAACGACAACTAAAAATCGAAAAAGGAGTCGAGCTCCATTGATCGCTTTATCCTCCAAGGAAAATTCTCCCGAGTTAATGAGGTTGGTACATACATTATTATAGCAGGATATAACTGATAACAGTACACAATTTTTACTGTCAAATGGGACGGTTTGTCAAAAACCTAATTTCAATAGACAGTTCCATTCAGCGCCAATGCGGAACAATGGGAATGCTTCACCATCGCGCGAAGGCAAAATGATGAATTGGGCCCTATATTATTGGTTACTTTTGATTGACATTTTTCGTTTGTTATAGACATAAATACAGTTTGTCCATCGCATCTACTGGAAGAACATCGACAGCCAGCACACAGGTTAGCAGCGATCCACCATCCCCCGAAGTTTGCGACACCCTGCCACCAGTTGCAGAGCATCCATGTTGAAACAGAAACTCACGACAGCAACGCAAATTTTTTTACTGCGTTTGAAGCACCGCAATACTTGAATATAACAGATCTTCGCCAGGCGTTGAACAAAGCATTTGTATTAAACTATTTTTCAAACTACTTTGAAATTATTACTTCCGAGCGATTACGTATAACGGGGACTGTTCCCGGGGACATATAAACACAAGGAATTATTTTTGAATTATCGTAGAAAGATCAAAGCAATCTCTTACAACGCAGTGAAAAATGATTTAAAAAGAAATTGGGTCAAACTGATAATCGCACCGCCGATTGTCTTGTGTTGATGACAATCACCTGCTAGAAACTTTCTTCTCTGGATTATAGCGTTGGTCGTCTTCTATCCTCTATATAAATATAAAAATCCTGGTCTATACAAACTAACAAGAGTTTCCAGTCAATTCAGCAAAGTTGCCCAAACGCTGACGAAACCAAGAACCTCTTGCAAAACATGATCAGCATACTTTCGACTTTCCACGTCAACTGTTTTCACCTTTGCACTTTTGAAGTTTTAAATTTAAATTTTTTTTGTTTTGTTTGAATGTCTGATATTCCTATTGCAGCATTTAAATAAATTGCACATATTTTGTATTTTACATGTTCCATCTGAGTTATCTTTCTTTACTTTTAAAGTAAATTTGCAATAAAATATCTTGACCATGTATTATTCTGCACATTATTTGTTTATTCATTGCATTGCAAATCTTATACCAACAGCTTTTACCCCCTGGAGTATCGGCTTGCATAGTGCCCTTTCAGGAGCAAAAATTATTACAAATGAAACAATTTATTCACTACTTATCGACGAGCTCCTTTGGTCAGCCAAACCATCTATAGGACAGCAGTGTGCAAACTGCGGCCCACAAGGAAAAATTGTGTGGAGAATGACAATTTTGAATGGTGTGTTGACGGCGAAAAGAGTTTTTATTTTAGCTTAATCTGGTACGTGTGAGTAATTCAAATCCCTTTTCGTTGCAAAAGCCTATACCTAAGTCCAATGTATTATCCATGCCTATGATGTTACAAATGCCTTAAAAGCAAACTTGTGCGAAGCATACAACGCATATTATAAGATCGGTGCTCCCGAAGTATGCAAACCAAGATGGCGGTCATCGGAACGTAACATGGGTAACAGGTTAGGGTTAGGCGATAATCCTTATTTTAGTCCTATTATCAGTTCGAAGACTAGCCAAGAGCCTCCCGTAGTATTTATACCTAAAATTATGGCCTAACCCTAACCTAGTACACATATTACATTCCAATGTCCGCCATCTTGGTTCGCATACTTCGGGAGCCCCATAAAATCAATAACCAATTTTTTTTGCCTAAGCTTATGTGGAATGATGTTGTGTGGCCTGCGGTTTCACCCTGTTTTTTGTTACTGGTCCTCCCGCATTAAAGGTTGCACAGCCCTGATCTAGGATATCTGGACTAGCCATAATGACATTCGACCACATAATAAATTTCTACTACCATTAGTAATTTTTATTTTTCTCTCTTTTCATTTTCTGTTGTTTCATTCCCCCTATACCACTAGGTGTCAGTCTGCCACTCGGTGTTGACCTGCCTGTAGGAGTGGACCTCCCACTTGGGGTTGATGACCTTCCTCCATGATGAAAATTACCTCGGCCTTGATGTCTGTATAAACAAAGAGTAAATGTTACGAGATTTAAGGAGAATATTGAAGTAACCATAAATTTTATCTTCAAATAATAATTCTTGACAAATTACCAGGGATTGGTGGCCACTTTGACCCTTCAAAGCATGGGCTAGCATTATGTCAAACATAATGAATAATAATGTGGCGCATAGTGCTGACCGTTAGGAATATACTCGCCTCCACACCTCTGGTTACCCTGAGTAAATACTATCCTATGGTATTAAAAGATTCACTCTTGAGGAGGAGCAACTGACAATCAAACTCATAACTCAAACCCTTTTATGCCACCTTGTGATCTTAAAGATATGTGGACCTTTCCAATAGGAGACTCACATCTTAGGTTGCGTATCTAGAACCTCATGCTTAAGAAAAAATTGGATGAATAGTTCATGTATAACATTGAGATCCAAAGCAATCAGCCAACAAAAATGATTAAATATTTAAATGATACAAACCTGCCAGGTCTTTCATTCATTTGTTCCTGCGGATCAGGTAGATTTAGATGAGGATATAGTTTTGCTACATTTCCTTCACTTGTCAGTCTACCGTAAAATTCAACATGTCTCTGTTGATGAATGTTTTCTATTCGTTTCCACCACATTTCATAAAGATTTTGTGCTCCTGGGAAAATACAATATAGAGGGATATAGGAAATAGCGTTGTTTTGAAGAAATCACACGATTTAATTCAGTTGATGGAAGATTCCAAATAAATGAAAAAGGAAACGAGACCTTCCTGCCGCCGTATCAGCTTTCCTTTTCTTCCGAGATAGATATACTCCATCATTGACAACCAAAGCAAACTATTATTGAAATAAGACGAAATGATTTAATAATTATGAAAAGCAGACAATTCTTTTCACCTTTCTGAGCAGGCCGACTTGTTATTGTTACGTCTTCAGTTTTTACTTTTTTCATTGGTGGGGGTGATTCAGGTGATTCAAACACCGTGTCTACCGCACGTTTTCTGAATGAAAATTAATAATATTAGCATATTTTAATAGCATTAAAATTTCACATCAAAATTGAATTTTTGTACTGCACCAGGTGCATAATCATAACCAGGTATCCTTAACTGAGTAACTTGTGTAGAGTCTATTAAAGATTTGAATATAACTCAATAAAGAGTTCCAATGCGTTGAAAGTAAAATCAAGAAGAACTGTGGTAAAATATGTCCCTTGGATAGGATAGATTCTATATTTATCGCAGAGGAGCTCTGATGAAACAGCTTAATCATATGGCAAACCATGCCTCTCGTTCGATTACCAGTTAATGTCGGTTATGGAAATAGTTAGCCAGTAATTTTTTTCCAGATACATGGACTTGATGGTGAAGAAAGCCGTAACAACCCTTAATGAAAATTCTTTTGCGCATAATTATCATGGAGGGGATTTAAACCTGCAAAACCACCCAAGGTAAATAGATGTACCTTATGCTTCGCACCAACCTTTAAGCCTTGATTTCTAATATAATTGGTGGCCATTCAAAAAATGATTTTCAGATCATCAAAAATACAGAGATATAGAAAGTACATACGTTTCCATTCTCTCGTCAGCTTTTCCAAGACATTGCAATAAACAATCCAAAACTTCTCTGTGATTCTCAGATGTTGTGGAATGTTCCATCAAATAATTTTCAAGTTCTGACCATAAAGATTTATATTGTTCATCTCTAAACAAAGAAATGAAATAAAATATATTTGTTATGAAAAAATAAACTAATTAGATGCATAGACTAGGATGATCAGGAAGCCTTGCAATAAAAAGGAACCAGAAATTCTTCGCAACAACTCATTTGAAGGGGGAAACCATTGCAAGGTTTTCAATGGTACAAGCCAGTCCTCAATGCTTCGTCCACCAAGCCGCTATTTTTTTAGAAGTAATAGATGATTAGAAGTAGAAATGTTGTGAATCCATCTGCATCTGTCATTATTATTTCAGATAAATGGAGAAGTAGAGTGAGACAATGTGCAACCACATTTGGTTATTATTTAAGCTTTTATTTTAAATTGTACAATATACTCTGAAAATGTCTTACCTTTTATTTGATTTGATTCTGCTTCCAGGAATAACAACAGGCAGTGATGTATTCTCTCTTTCCATTTTTATAATATGATATATTGAACTTTTACATTGCACAACTTGGTCTTGGGTTAAAGTTTCCTTAAATACAGAGTATGAAGATTAAACTATCAGGTTGACTGTATATACCACATAACATGAGAGTATCAAGCAATAGAAAAAAGATTATTCAAATTTGAAATGAATTTAAATTAGGAGTCCTGTCAAAGTAAAGGAATAAACTTGCAGTTGGATAGATTTTATCCAGATGTGAGGGATTTTATATTAAAAACAAATGCCCCCCAAAGTTTTCAGTTCCATCATACAACTTGATGTAAAGTAGGCAAACAAAATTAGTTACCTCCATAATGGTACACATACTTCTGGAGCGCATAATAAAATAATCGATTCGCTTTGGACATCTCTTCTTGATATCAACTATAATCTATTCCAATCCCACATCTAACAATATGAAACTGGTAATGGTCTAATCTAATGGATGTACTAAATAAACTAAAAGTATCTTAACAACATCAACATCCATACCTTCATGACTAATGACAATAAAGGTTCCAATATATTAGGCATACTGAATAAAACAGTTTGTGAAAAGACGAGAGGCCAATGCCTAGCCATTCGTTCTAATTTAGATTTCATTTTTTCCAGAGGTTGTGGTGTTGTTGCTTCCCATTTCTTTTTAGAATGACCCCATGGTTGAAGTTGACCATCTTTCATGAAAGCACTGAAATCCTGAAACAATATCAGATATAGCAAGACTTGACTTCAATACTCAAAATCAATTGTGAATTAAACAGCTAGAACAAATTAAATTATATAAAACAGTTAAGCAGGAACGGTGGCCTAGTGCTTATATGTTCGAGTAAACTATGATGGCATAGCAAGTTAAAATCTTTGGTTCAAATCCTGTGCTCACCCCTTAACACAGCGTAATAATTAGGTAGGTTTATGTTGCATGAAAGAGATTTTAGTCCTTCCAAAATAAAGTTATGTAGTCATAGTTGAGCACAGGATTTAAACCCAAGATTTTAAACTGTGATGCCATCATAGTTAATTCTAATGCTTCAACCTAGGGATGAACAATTACTTTTTCGAGTGGGCCAGTTCCAAATATTGGTCGGTTACTGGACTGGAGTCTCGAAACTCAATATGGAAAACTATGAATGAAAAACAGTTTATTTATAAAAGCAAGGCTAACGATTATCTAATGACAGAAAGCACAATGTAACAATCAGAGTGACATTATTTTCATCGATATTTTCAAAATAAATTTATACCCATAAAAGCCATAGTCGTAATTTCAGCAGACAGATGAAACACTTCGGTGGGCCGGACCTGGCCCACAGGCTGTAATTTGCCCACCCCTAATTTAACCACTAGGCCACTTACACAATAGCTCTCTGCATATCCGCTGCTGCCTGCACGGAGCCTTGTTTTTAGCCATGTATGTCCCTAACCTCGTACATTCTTTCGTTTAGTACTAACTATCATTTTTACTTACATTAATTCTGTAATCTGTAACTTTTCCTCCTACGCCCTCACTTATGGATGGAGGGTCTTCAAACGGCACTTTATCTGTATTAAGAGCATGAAGAAATATATCATTTCCATGACATGATATCATATGTGTTGTTTGTCTTCCACTTCCACTGCTTGTAACCGCTTGTCCATTCTTCCATTTTTCAAGAAGCACCGATCGACCTGGATTGGCATTGATGAGTTAGAATTAAAATAAAAAAATGGATGAAATACTAGCTTTCTGCCGCTCAGCCTGTGGAGTTCAAGGAAAGTAATTGGCTCAACGGTTGGTACATCATACTGAGTATAGGAACACGCTTGCCATCACACCTCTAATAAAGTGTACAGAGTTCGCAGGGTCAACCTTGTGAAGGATAAATAAGTGCGAGAGGATTGCTGGGTTCCTGGTATTCCATGTACCGCTGGACAGTCACAGCCATTAAGTCCGTGCATTCAAAACAAATAACTGGTTCACTATTCCAATACCTGACATGGACTGGTAACTGGGAGGCTGTGAGTCATTATATGCTTGAGTCGTCTCCTTGGAATAAGAATGAAAATCCTACTCTATCCTTTTAGAAACATGTTAACTGATACTTAACCCCTCTCTTAACTAAAAAAAAAAATCTCAGACACCAGGGTGTTTGAAACATGATAGCCACCAATTATCCATTTATCCTGCATAGTAAACACATAGTGGCTGAGAAGACTTTTTTATTATTAGAAAGAGGTTTGTTCCACACTATTCATACACAGCTTTCTCAATCGTCAACATTCATCATCCACCTCATTTGGATAGTTAAATTTAAGATAAGGGATAGTACACAGATTAATATAGGCTGTAACAGCAAGCAAGGTTTTCTAGCGCTTAGGATGTTGCGCAAGCCGTGAGTAATTTATATTCGTAGGCTATGATCATCTTGGTCCTAAATTAAAAGACCATGATTCTAATCTGACTGGAACATCTTAATGTCTTCCTCTTTCTTAATGAAAATATGAAATTAGGACTATTCTAAATCATTCGTAACTCCACAAAGGAACTATAATGTTGGATACACAAGTTTACTCACCACTTAATAAAAAGTTGGTGAGGCAAAGTGAAGGTCTGCTATTAACATCAACTGGACTGACTCGCTCTGCTGCATCACAGTGATATAATTCTGAAACATTCATATAATAGATATATGCAATAAAATTTGAGTACAATCAAGATAGTTACATTTATAGAATAAACATTCTCTTCGAAAATAATCTCAAATATTTTCATTTAAAAAAAAAGTTTGTGCAATTGTAAATGAGAAACTAAAAAAACGAACACTTTTATCTCAATTTTTATATAATCCCATTAAATTTATCACAATAATAATTAAGTTGTAAAAATCTGAATATGATATCAAACACTGTATACAAGAAAATAAAGGGAAATTGTTGGTCATCTTATAAAGTCATGATTCGCTTTACAGTGGATTCCATTATAGAATTATTTTGCTCTGCTATATTGATAGCGTGCAAAGATGTTGGTGTCGCAGGATAAAGGCCTAGAGTTTAAACACCATGCCAATCACCTCGACCATTGTATAATGCATTAGATAGCTAATGCCAAATCAAGAAGATTCCCAGAGTTATAAAAAAGGAGTTTAATTTACAATGGTTGATTGTAAATCCGCTTGTTTAGAGTTAAGGTATGAAGACGCTTTATAAAGAAGAAAAACATCAAATCTTACCATTTGCATTTATTTTTGGTGTAAACCATTTCAACATCATTGTAGAAGTTGGTTCACCATCACCAGGTGGGAGAGATGATCCAGTTGAACATTCCCACATTCCTGGTAATCGAGGATGAAGTAATAAAACATCATAATTTGCAGAACTGTTAGCATGTTGTTCCTCCTGTATGATCATGAAGTATTTTTTAGATTATATTTTGTAAAATTGACACAGTGATATTTTCTACCAAGAAGATAGATTCATGATGATTCATGAAAATGCATTTGCTATTCACTATTACCTCACTGATTACCTGGCATGGATTCACAGGTTCGAATCCTGTGGGAGATAGAAACAAGCAATAGGTTTGCATGGCTCTCAGACGAGGGTAGTTCACATATCTGCCGGTCAGTTATGAATTTCTCAACGATCCAAGTCTATGCACCCAGAAAGTGGATGATCTATTTCCAAACCCAAACTGGAATGGTAACAGTATCAGAGGCTGTAATTCACCATGTGATTAATCCATATTATCAGTATATATCAAAATTTCATCCCATCCATATTATATTATGTTTGCACCCGCACACCAGGACAGAACTCTCCTGGTTAATCCAGCAATATTTACAAAATAAACACTTCACCCAGAATGTAACAAATTTTAGAGGATATTTGAAGTCAAGGGCATAGGCCTGTACTTATTAGTAAATGATGTGTTGTGCAGACTCAATTCTTCCAAGTCTTATCGCCTTTTTTCTCCCCGGAATAAATATGTGAATCCTATCCAATATGTGGCTAGCAACCCAGCACAATAAAGATGATTATTGTATCGAAACAAGAGTTAAGCACCTGGGGCAAGCAGAATATAGCTTAACACTTATCATAGCTCATAGCAAACTTAAAATCAGAATTTACCTTCATAGGTATACCGGTTACACTTGTCACAGAAAGATCATAATGTTTTTGTACAAGATTGAGAAGTCTGTTTGCAATCGCGATTCCATGTCGTGTAGATTTCACATTATGTAGTTCAGATGAAATAGATTTATTTTGAGTCAATGGAGTTGGAGGTTTTTCAGATATCTAGAAAAGCAAAGATATTAATACTTCTCCTATTTTTGAACATATTATTTACAGTGATTAAAAAGATCTGGATTAATGCAATACTACAAAATGTAGTACACAACAGTACAACATGCAATACAAAAAAAATCCAGATTCACAATACTCCAATCTCGAATGTGCTGTTCATTATAATTGACTAAAACATAGTTCAAACTGAATCTTACTTGCAAATCCACACCAAAAGGCTTTATATGAATAATCACCAAATCTAATTCTGAGATCGGAAAAAAACCACTGGAAAAAATATATTGAAAATTTAAAACAAGTTAAAACTAAACATATATACACAAATCATTAATGTAAAATGAAATGATCTCAATATTACAAAAAATGTCCCAAACTCCTATTGGGAATTCTAATTAATATGATACAAACATAAATTTATTTAACAGGCTTTCAACAAGGCTATTGCTGCTACTGTTAACATCTACTTTGACAAGCTTACAGTACGCAATTTCACTATTTGGATTAAGGTGACCAGGAATAAGACATAAGTTTATATTTAATATAGCCACTCTAAAAACTACAAATGCAGCGGTAGCATTTATTAATACTGATATATCCAAGATAAAATTTACCTGTTGGGATTTGCTGCAAGTTCGTTTTGTTTTTGGACAGCTTCTGCAACACAATCTTCAATGGTTCTTCTATGAACATCACTGAAATGACAAATTGTACATATAGGGTAGGAATATTTTAGTTGCAATATAATTCAATAGCATCACACTAAAAACCACCACATATATTTCGTTCTATTGAAAAAAAGAGTTCAAAAGATAAACTTTAATTTTTCATTTTTTTCTGTAAACTTCTCGCATTAATTATGAAAAAGAACACTAGTAGGCCTATGAGTTTTCTATATTGTTTAAGACTTAAAACGAGAATATCGGTCAGAGAACGAAGACTTATCGATCGAAAGTTAGTGGATCCCCCAAAACAGCGCTCTTACTCCATAGTGACACCTTGTGTCCTATCACTAATTACTTGATAACTCGCTAATTATACAACATAATTCGCCCAAAATAGGCTTTTGGTCCGAGATATGATGAATACACATGCAAATTCTGGAGCAGATTCAATCTCGCTTTCGTGAGATATCGCGTGCATCTAACAGACATACACACAGACTAACAGACAAATACCTATCAACATACTTACCAATTAAAATCGATAGGTAACAATAAGTTTGCTCATAAAAAAAACTTCTAACACAGGAATTGCATACGATGGAAAGTGGAAACTTACTGCTTAAGTTGTGTTATGCAAACAATCCTTCCTCTATTTGGAACATTTTTTACATTTGGATCATCAAATGCATTTTTCTGTTGTATGGTCGGTTCACTTAATGATTTCACAGCATCTATTAATCCAGTTAATACACTGCAATCACTTCGTGCAACAGGAGGCCCCACGGATGCTAAAGCCCGCAGTAGCTGAACAAGATTTCAAAATTTGGATTATAACTATAACAGGAGAATAACACATGTATGCGGTGGTATAAATAACATAAAAACAGCAAAATTTGACAAAAAAATATGTCTCAGAGATGACAAAAAAATAAGGTAATAGCCATGTCAAGTACAAATATTAAAACTTCAAAACAAATGGGATTGGTTGCAAGACAGAGATTTGGAATCAATGAAAATTAACATCGGAAATTTTTACTCAGACTACAGCGAAGAACCCTGAAAATATTAAATTTTGAATACAAATTTTTTTGAGTATGTACGCCTTCTTCAATAAACTGTTAGAACACTTGAAAAATTCGTGCCTATCGAGTAAAATTCTGACGTCTTTTATCACTAACAAAAGTTTGAAATCTCTACTTTAAAAATGAGTTTGAAAATCTGACTTCGGCACTGAATCCAGTGAAAACATGCGAAACCGAGACTCATGCTCTGCATGCCTGGTTTGGAATATGTAGAAACAGACATTGTTTATATAAAATCAAACATACAGCATGAGAATTTTGATCTTTAGGATTCCATGTGTTCAATGTCTTGCTTGTTGTATCGCTAACAACAAATTGAAGAAATTTTTCTCTTGGGAAAATATCCCAAACAATTCTGCAATATTCACATAAAGCTTCCATGCAGCAAGTCCATAATGACTTTGTGATTGGTGCCAGAGGAATCATGCCCTGTGTAATATAAATATTAAAATGATGTTCAGCAACTCTTCAAATCAATTATTATACGTTGGTTAAATGATTATGCTTTAAATAAATAAATAAATTCTCTTTTTACAGTTTTGAAATTAGGTGTAAAAAACGGCAAATCAGGTTATATGTTTATCTTTGTATGTAAAACTGGCCACATAAATATTTTATCAGAGGCAACACATTCTCACTTCGAACAAGGTTAAGCACAATTATCAACTTGCATAATTAGTCACTAATATTTTCATTCGCTTGAATCAACTGATGATGCCATGAAAAGAATACAAATTGCTGAATTGCAATAAACATTTCATATTGTGTCAAGCTGGGAGTTCAGGCCATTAACCAAACAAAACTTATTTGAATTAGACCGTGACCGTGATTTTGCAGCAAAAAATGTAACAGTTGCTCTTTGACGTGTCATTATTAAAACTCAGACACCCTATTACAATTTATATATATCAAAAGGGTTGTATGCCGCACATCTGTGTTTTAGGCCAATATGGTCTTGTGCATACATCCCGTCTTCAGTATTTATAATTACTTACTCTTTTATATTGCTTTTACGAGACGAATAAACATACATACAATTTTAACAATACCTGAATACTGCAATATATCTCAGTATCCCAAAAAAGTTGGTATGTTTATATTTTTGGCCCTTTTTTTTATATGTTCTTGATATTCACCACATTAACAGCTTAATACATTAATAGATTGTAATTTAAAAATAAAATTGCACAAACCATACGAATGCAAGAGACTTTATAAACTATATTAATGTTTACTGACCTGGGGTCGTGATTTCATAAAGATGTCAAAATCGATAGTTTGCTTTGATGATTCTTTCATGGATGGTCCATGATCGAGGACAAATATTGTCTTATGATTTATTTCCTGCATTCTGAAATGGGTTCCTTGGTTATTTGAAAGCATAAATTTAATAAAAAATCATCATTTACTTCCTGCGTGAGCAAAAATTGGCAAGTAAGCTGAGAGAACAATTACGAGAAAAGAGCGACATCGTGCAGCAGTCAAACAATTCAGAGATTTCATTTAATTAGACCGTGATTGAATAACAGTACATTAACTATTTCATTTTAGAACTGTATATATATGCACTTTCTCATATGCAATGTTAACAATCATCCAGTGTTTTTGCAGCAAAAAATGTAACAGTTGCTCTTTGATGTGTCATTATTGCAAACTCAGACAACACGGGGATTTCCCCAAATGTCGGTGATTTTTGCATAACAATTCGTTGACGTTTCTTCCGCGCTTCAGTCTCTATTATATCTGTTATTTGGAATACTGATCCAATATCCCTATTATGACTTGCTGGAACATTAATGTCTGGACGGTGAAAGAAGGTCAACAAGTGTGAGAAGTACAAATCAACTACACGGTAAGTTGTGATCAACACAGTAGTGCAATATCGTGAGTTGTTTCATTCTTATTCCGTTCATTTTGATAGGATAGGATTTACATATTTATCCCGGGGGAGAGGAAAGCCGTTAAGACGTCTTATCCATATGGCGAACCACGGCCTCTCGGCCGGTTACCATTCCAAGTCGGGTATCGTATTAGTTAGCCTATATTGTTTGTTTTCGGAAGCATGGACTTGGTAACTTCAGAACTTATTATCTGTCAAGACAGGAAGTTTCTTCGGATATCAGTATATGTATGACATGAAAATAGGTGAATTAAGTACGACTGTACAGGCTACTGGGCTAAGGCCTACATGTTTGTGTTTAAATTATCAATCAATCAATCAATTTTATCACTTTTGTTCCTTTCCTCTCCCCCGGGATAAATATGTAACTCCTATCCTTTCCAGTGCTGTCGCTTGTCCCTTATTGCATTTTTCTATTGAGGTGTTTAGCCAATTTGCGGCCATTAACTTCAATGTCCCAATTGTTATTCAAAAAACATGAGAAAAGGGTAGACTATCATAAATTTAATCATAGAATCCAACATTCACCACCCACTCTTAAAAGTCTTTCACAACATCCGGACAAAATTCATTCCACAAGAGCAAAGTTATAACATAAAATCCGACAGCAAGAAGCCTAAATAATAACGAATAATCCAAATCGCTAGCCGCAGGACTTTCTTTTAAGAGGTTGTCAGATAATAAAAGAGACAATTAGCTGAAACCTGACACATGATTACAGTATCGTATCTTCCACCTATCCTCTGTCTCTTTTCCTTTATGCAAGAAGTTTTGGGAATTGTTCGGTTAGCATTGCTGGTACAGATTTTGCGGCGTTAATAGTAAAATTTGTCTCAAACCGACTATACCACTCAATATTCCATTTTACAAATTAGATTGCCCATTCTCACATGCTCAATTTCTTTGGAATTGGCAGCTGTCCTGAATTTCCACCCTGTGTGTTTATCTTTTGTCATTTTAATCATTCAAATCAACATTTCTAAGGTCCTTCATTTAAACAGCTTGCTATTATAAAAGTAATGGCTTCAAATCTATCAAATGATGATTTCTGAATTAATTAATCTGTAAATTTACAAATTGGCTCTATGATTGTAGCAATTTATATGTTATCTGGTACATGATATATACCAGTATATATATTCTACTTTTTTAAACAGAATCACTCCAATGGCCAGTGGGAGTCCAGATCCATCGTACCAGGAGCGTATTGCTCGAAAAAAGAGAGTGGTCAATGAACTTCTTGCACTACGACGTATGAAGCTCATGCAAAGAAAAGAACATGTGAGTTTTTCACCGAAATCATATTCACCAGATTCAGGTCGTGAGTACGAAGCATTCAGAGTACAAAGTGATCAAGATTATGGAGAGAGATTAACAATAAGTCGAGAGCAAGTTCGTGGATTAATGAAGGGCACCGTTTTGGAGCAAGAACTTCATAAAACATACGGTGAACGAGCTTTAGAAGATGCAGCAGATCATTATGCAAATGCAGTATCTGATCCTTATCGCAGTTCGAGCGAAGATAAACTTTCTGATGTTGCACAACAGAGATTATTTTTTCACAAATTACTAAATGAGAGAAAACTAAAAATGGAAGCAATGCGGCAAAAAAGATATGAGAATGAACAAGCATTATTACAACAAAAATCAAACCTTCGAGCTGCGAAGCTTAAACTCAAAGAAAAAGAACTTGATAAAGATATTCACAGCGACAGTAGTGAAGAAAATTTGAATTACTTAGTAAATGAAGTGAAGCAAAACATTGGGGTAATGGAAAAGAATATAAGACATTTAAAACAAAAACAACGTTCAGAAGTGAAAAAAGTAAAATCATTTCAGAAACCAGCAGCGATTGATTATAGCTTCAAACCTTGGCAAGAAGAACAAGTAAATATTGTTACCAACATTGTACAAGATATAATCCAAAGAACCCTTGATCTTTGTGTTTTTTCTGAAGATAACATGGGTGAAACAATGCTTGAAAAACTATTAAAAACAGATAATGAACAATGGGAGCTTTTAATGTCAGAAGGTATCAAACATGATGCTATTTTAAATATTATTAACGAAATTTTTGACGAGTTGTCATCTGTGATGATTCGTAAAACTGCTGAGGAAATCGTATTCCTTTTAAAAATGGTGGATGTGTCGGCGTGCGATTTAGTCATCAATTCAACATATACTGCAGTGAATGGAAAACCTCCAAAAGATTCAAACAGTTCTATCTCACAGATGGTGGATAAAATGTGGGTTGAAATAATGACGAGAAGACTGAAAACAAGAAAAAATCTCTGGGCTCACACACAAGGGGCCAAATCTACTTCTATACCCTCAAAAACTAATGTCACAGAGCAACCTGAGCAAGTGGAACAAGTTGAAGAAAATGATGGTGATGTAACAATGCTCTCTTATGAACAGACACCTCTAACTGGGTCAGTTTTCACGGGAGAGATCTGGGATGAATATGTCAGTGCAGAGTTTTCATATTGGGAATCACAATCAGTTGATTTAGCACCTATGCCGTTTTCTTTATCTTACAAAAAAATATATGGAATAAGCTGTTTGAGTATGTCCTATGACAATCGTTATGTTGCTCTCGGAACATACAGAGGTGATATTCTTGTCTATGACATCACTTGGGAGCCATTTCGACCTATCCGTTGTGTGTCATTTGTAGGTAAATCTCCTGAAAAGATTTCTCATATCAGCTGGACAGTAGATAGAACAAAGATATTAACATTGAGTGAGACGCTGTGTTTGATTGTTTGGTCAGTTTCATATTTATCACCCTCTTCTGCATCAGATATACGACACCTTGGAATACCAGAAGACAAAACAAATGGCTATAACTGCCAGCAACTAACGGCAATATGCATATTAGAAGGTTTAAAACAAGATTTTATGATTAAAGAGGGACCACTTGCATCTTCTATCACTCCAGCCTCGTTTTCAACCCCAGTGGTAGCGAAATTCTCCCCGTTTATGAATGTATCGGGAGCACAAAATTTCGTAATCGTAGGTTTTGCAAGTGGAGACATTTTGAAGTGTGACCTATCTCATGTCACATCATCAAGATTCAAGGTACTTTTGAATTACCATCCTACTGAAACAAATTCACCTTTCATAATTGGACAGGATTCATTGTCGAAAGGTAATAAAATCACAAAGAGTATCGAAGTCGAGCTTTTTCGATCTCATCGTCATCCAATCAATATGATTCATTTTATAAAGAATGATGGTGATATGATTACTTTTGACCAGAAAATGAACATCTGTGTTTGGAGACACAATAAAGAACAATTGAGTGGTTTTAACTGGTTTATACCATACAGGAAACTACGTATTACTGGTACAGAAGCCGTCATGGTACCTAAATTACCAGAAAAAGTCATATTCGAGGATGAAATTACTCTGAAAAAGAACACGAAAGGAAAAAAGAGGAAAGGAAAACAAGTCGTTGAAAAGGAGCGGAATCAAGTCATGAATGAACTCAGAACTTTACAACTTCAATCCCGACAGCCATGGCATAGTGATGATCAAGAATATAATGAAGAAGGAAAAAAGAAAAAGCAAGACAAGTTTATTACAAAAACATACAGTCCCACACAGCGAGAAATTGTTGATCCACTTGCAGATCAAGTTTTCCATATTGTAACCAGGCAGCGATCAACAAATTTGATGGTTCGATATGCAACGCGGATATATTCCGTTAGCCATAATCCAGCCAGGGCTTTGATCGATACGCTCCCAAATTCTGATGGAAGCAAGTTGTATTTTATGTTCTTATATGCAAAACATCCCCCCAATATGAAAGCACATGTGACGTTGGTTAACCTCGATTTGAACAGACTAGATATGTTGCAGTCAATGGTGATAAAACAAGACCTTGATAAGAATGATTTTGACAAATGCGTTGTGAATAAGGAGTTGGCATTCGCTGTAACTCGCACATTTATATCCAACAAAACAGAATATATTTATTGCAACATTGCAGGCAGAATGCATGCATTTTCTACCTTTACAGGTTCTGAAATAGCATGGTGCGCTCCTGATAAAAAATCGAAAAGAGGAACTCCGGAACGTGGATTACGATTTCCGCCTAAGTTAGGGCAAATGACTGGTAAAATGATGTTGGCCACATTGTGTCCGGAAGGTAATCGAACATATGTTTTATTACAAATGCAGCCAGAACAAAAGAAGGGTGAGGCAATTACTGGAATGTTTACTGTCGTTAATGAATCGTCCCCAGAGTTTCGACAAAATTTATATATATTGAGAAACCAACTGACATCATCTCTTGATGCCTCATTCGTAGAGGAAGATGAAACAAGTGCAGAACAGTGTGTTCATCATCAGTCTCATTCAAAACGGGACATGCCCATCGAACTGTACGTGCAAATGACTCTAAATTCTATTGTGGATAACGCAGTTGCTATCGCAAGCTCTCAACTAATGACAAATGAACAGAGAGTGAAAGTATGGGCTAAAGATTGGGAGAACATGCAGCAGTTTTTCACTGACTGACACAATATAAGATTTTCTTGTATAGATTTGCTTCCTTACTTTTATATTATATTGATAGTTGATACACTTCATTCCAGGGGCATAGCGAGAAATTTTCGAAGGGGGGGTTCTGAAATTTCCAATTACCAAGGCCAGAAAACGTGGGTTTTCAAGAGCCTCAACTAAGGGTCTAAAAAGCGTTTCAAGCTACAAAAAATGAATGATATGGAAGAGGAAGGGGGTGTCCGACGCGCAATTCCCTCCCCGCCCCACTTCATTTGTTGCTGTGAAAACCTGGTATATGAGGTCATAATTTGGCATGTTTTTATTGTTATTGGAGCTGTACTTTCAAACTCAAACTTGGGGTCAAAGAAGAAAGTTTGGAGTCAGAAAGTACTGGAGTCCAAAATCTATAAAAAAAAAAAAAAACATTATTTGGACTGAGCACTGTTGTCAGACATTCCCAGAAGGATTGTATAAAAAAGTTTTTATATTTAAATATTTGGTTTTCTAAGAGTCAAAATTTTCTTCAACCTGGACTCTAAAAATAGCAGTTCTGAGGTGCTTCTTTTCATTCAACTTTATATTTTGCACAAATTGTATTAGTAAGTACCTTTCAACTGTGTATGCAAATCCACCTTGGGTGCTCTATTCATATCAATTTTTTACTATTCTATACTTTTTAGTACAATTTCTTCAAATTTACACTGTTCTGTAATTAGCCATGATAGCCTTCCTTCAATTCTTCATTCAAAAGTTCACTCCCATTTTTATGTTTGTAATATGTCTTTTTTGAGATATTTTAGTAGTTTAATTAGATTCACTATCAGAGTGTTGCTAAATGGCGTTAGCCCATAAGCAAGTAATATTTTATAGGATGACAGCCATTATTATTATTATAAAAATTTACAAAAGAGAACCGAGATGGTTTGGACATATTCTAGAGCGAATCATACACAAGGAAAATTTCCGAGCATTAAATAAATTTTCTTCATTTTCGTAGAATTAATAAATTTATAGGTTCTGTTTTTAAGGGTCACCCTGTATATTGATATACGAGCTCCTAATTGTTTAATCCTGCACTGTTACAATCGATCTTAGCCATATTTTGTAATTTGTATTACTTGCCTTAACAATATTATCCATAACATATGCATTTACACATGACCAAATGTTTGCTTTATTTTCTAATCAATAAAATTTGTAGGAGTTGATATTGTGTGTTGTACAGGGGTTAGTGGCAGCCGATTAGCCCATTTTTCACTAGAAATTACAATGGACTTTATTGATTATATTCAAGATGATAGTAAAGTTGTGATTTCAGAGAAAACCGTACTGTGTTACTAGGCTTGTTTTTTGACGGTTTTCCTCTGTATTTGAACGTTTTAGCAAGGTTTCTTTCTGGTGTTTTTTTTTTTTTTTTAAGGGCAAAAAATGTCCTGATCGCCCCTCACTACCAGACAGACCCATCTAGATCTAGACATCATTGAAGATATGAATACATGATATAGGCCCTCTATTTTGAGTCCAGTTTGGCAAAATTGCACTTAACGTCAATTGTCTAATGATTCACAATAAAACCGACCGAGTGTGAACCTGCCTGAATGAAAAAAAACGAATAATGCCAGGCGTCAGAGTTTATTTGCAGAAATTTTGGACGTCGAAGTTGCTCATAACTAGTTAGACCTAAACATAGCTACCAAACAAATAAAACTCAATGATAATAAAATATCAATAAAGTAGTCAAAAATGGTCAGAATAACGATTGTTGAACTCAAGATATTCTGATAGCAGCCTTAAGGTATACAAGTAAAATCCAACTTCACTCATACCCACAATTAACCCAAAAAATTTATGCATGAAGGCATCGGCTATGAACTAACTGTATGTATCAGTACTGAATGAAGTGAAGTCACTATGCTTCATGGAACATCAAGTAAAGGGTGCCATAATTAGACTAAAATAAAACAAAAACATATGAAACAAGCTTTTGTAGACATATCATTTTGACATCAAGACAAATTGTTTTATATCTGGAGGTGAAAATCCATTCGACTCCATATAGATCTTGAAACAAATTTTGGTGGGTAATATACAAATTTTGATGTTATTGAGAAATTGGCTGCGGAATGCAATCAGGTCATCAAAGTTGAAAAAAAAATGGTATTAAGATTTCTAAGCAAAAATAGTTTCTTCTCTTCGCTTTTTAGTGAGTATAGTCCCAGGTTTATGTTGGGCTTCAGGATGTCTTTCAAGTTCAGATGGGCAAGTAGAGACCGGACTCTCAAGCAATGCTTGTTTCAGGTCATAAAAAACTGCCGAGTCTTCTTGAGTGATAAATGTTATAGCTGTTCCAGTCTTTCCCATTCTCCCTGTACGTCCAATACGATGAGTATAATCTTCGATCGACCTTGCCATATCAAAATTAATAACCAAAGAAACATCAGGAATGTCGATACCCCGTCCAGCCACATTTGTGGCAACAAGGATATCTTTACTTCCTTCTTTTAAACCACTCAAAGCGAATTCACGTTGTTCCTGACCTTTACCCCCATGAAGTGTAGTAGCATTGTATCCCATTTTTTCCAATGATCTTGCCAAGACGTCGCAACCTTTTTTCTGATTTACGAATATAATAATAGGAGGTGTGATACCTGCTCCCAAAATTTCCAAAAGCTTTCTCCTTTTTGCATTCTCCTTTAACAAATGAACAATTTGTTTTACTTTTTCTATTGGTTTTCCAGCTACTCCAATATTCACAATCGCTGGGCGTCGCAAATAGGTTTTAGCTAACCTTTCAACAATAGGAGGCATAGTTGCAGTGAACATGACAGTCTGTCTAAACTTATGCTTTGATAGAAAATTGCTTCGCATTAGTAAATCATCATCCAATTGCTCTGAATCAGGCTTTTGATTTGTCACTGGCATATGATCAAGAATTTTCTTCACATCAGGTTCAAAACCCATGTCAATCATCCTATCAGCCTCGTCAAGAACAACGTATGTGCATTGGCTCAATACAAGATAGCGGTTTTCCAAGACGTCAATAAGACGACCTGGTGTTGCAATTACAATTTCACATCCCATGCGCAATTTAAAACCTTGGTCCTCCCTTGATAAACCTCCAATGACTGCAACAGTACGCATTCCAAGTTCTTTACCAAATTTTATGGTTTCCTCTTCGATTTGTTGTGCCAGTTCACGAGTCGGAGCTAAAATAATTGCATATGGTCCTTTATCTGCATCTTCTAATCTTTCTATTTTAGGCAGTGATGTTATCCATATCAAGAGGGGGATTAAAAATGCCGCTGTTTTACCAGAACCAGTCTCTGCAACGCCGATAATGTCACGATTCAACAGGCCGATGGGAATAGCTTGTCGTTGAATTGGAGTTGGATCCTTGTAACCAAGTCCATCAATGATTGCTAGAAGTTCGTCTGGAATATCTTTACATTCTTTCCAAGATCGTAAAGGTGGTGGAATGTTTCCACCTTTACTAGCTATACTGTAATCCTCACGGAAGATTCTCCAGTCTCTTTCTTGCATTTCCTCTAAAGATTTCTTTGTCCAATGTCTATCATCCCACAATCGTTTCTTCTCCTTTTTCAAAGCATTTACCATCCTTTTCTTTTCTAAATCTTTTTCTTGTTGTGTTCTACGATTCTCCATAAGTTCTCCATAAAATTGTGATTGTGACTTCTTTTGGACTTTAACGTCAATGCCTGCGATAAATCCACGCCCAAACAAATGAACTTCGTGTTTTTCTTTATAAATTGGATTGAAGTCAACAGAAGTGTCATCACCAGCGTCCCAATCAAACACGAATTTTCTGTCGTTGAGACGTCTGACGCGTTTTTTCTTTTTTACAATACCCAGGTATCGATCTTTGATGGATGACAATTCTTTCTCTGCGTCTTTATCGATACGTTTCTTGTCTAGTTCATCGTCGTCATCTTTGGCTCTTCGTTCTTTGCGCTCTCTACGTTCTCGATCATATGGATCCTCTAGCATTTTTCTCCCTTCGCTAAATATGTCCCTCTGCTTTTTACGCATCTCATCCATTTGTTTTCGCTTTTCTTCGACTTCTTGTTGCCTCCGGGCGATTGCTGCCGCAGCACGGTCCTCTTTGGTAGTGAATTTTGGCTTGGCAGCAGCATCTTCCTCCGCCTTCTTTTTGGCAAGCATTTCCTCAAGACTGAGAGGTTGAACCTTTGGCTTTTGAATATCTTCTTCCTCTTCAACTACCATTCCATTTTGAGAATCTTGAGACTTTTCCTCTTTTAATTCTTTATCAGTTTTATTATTATCTGAATGACTATACTTGTGAGATTTTCGATCTCTGTCTTTTGATCGAGATCTGGATCTTTTTCTGTCATGTTTCTTACGTTCTCTTGATCGAGAACGCTTTCGTTCTCTTGAGCGTGATCTTTTAGACCGTGATCGATGTTTTTTCTTGTCTCTTTCTCTGGAACGAGATCTGGATCTACCCATATTTATACTCTGTGAGGATGAAAAACAAAAAAATATAAATCACATTATCTGGAAAGGATGATTGGAACATTAAAGCTGTGAAGCATCAAAATCACTGCAGACCTTTTATTGAAATGACTATGTGGTCAGAAACACAATAACAAGCATAGAAACACAACATTAACTTTTTTCAACTACCGGTATCTATAACGAAGGGAGATTAAGCATTACATTTCAACTACTTGATGAATTTAACAAACAAAAAAAGGCACAAAAAGTTAGAAAGCAGTATACGCCTAGCACATGAATAATTATTATTTAGATATTGCCATATTTGGTCTGAATTTGAAACAATCTCATGGAAATGAAGTAATGCACTGTCAAAACTTAGATTCAGAAAATGAAGATCCTTTTAAATCATGTAAATCACTTCTTCTAACCATAGTTTTTGCTTATAAATTATACTATATAGAGCCAAGAGAGCCATGGGAACAAAGAATCACTTCATTTTTTACCATGTCCATTAGAATATCTGCTTTTCAGTCAAATATCTTTAATAACACTAATAAAAAGGCAGTTATATGTTATCACACAAACCATAATCCTCCAAAATATTGTGGACACAAAAATGCCATTGCATAAAGAGTGCGACTCGGCTACCACCAGTAAAAACTATTACTTCACCAAGTATAGAATGATATAGGGAACAATCATGCATATGATATATGAAATTGCCTACATTAGATAACTTCCCACTATACGCTGATGTCATATCTCATATAATAAGAGGAAATCAGGTAAAATTGGACAGAAATTCAATAAAATTCTAATTGAACCAAAACATTGCAATATACATGACTTGATTCTTTAAAAGGTGGATAGCTGCTTTATGGTATTTCAAATCAGCACATTTCGGTACTTTGTAATGAATGGTTTATTTTCTACAAATTCATACTTTAGAATAATTAAATTCATTAAGAATGTCACTGGACATCTGAAACAGAAAATGAAACTATCAGGGTCATTTCCTTCTCCAAAAAAACCATTGGACAGTTTATGGTAGTGCAAATTTTAGAGAAAATGAAATAATATCTAAAACTGATAGTGATGTATTTTAAAAAGCAAGTAAATCCATTTCAATTTGTTTTTGTCTTTGTGCTTCAGCTCTCCATTTTTGTGCTGCAACCCTATCTCTTTCTTCATCCTCTTGATTTTTTACTCTAGCATATTCTTCAGTTAATGGATCGGATTCTCTATTCCTACAAAACTGTAGTTTTTGTTCTATTGCCATAGCAACAGATTCAGATGGTGGTTTAACACATTTCTTAATAATGGATCGAATTTTTTTAACACTTTTGACTGTATCATCCAACACGTTTTGCGGTTGGCCTTTCAATAAATGTTCCGTGACGTAAGCATCTAAATTTATACCCTGTTTTGATCCTACTGAAAGCAACGATGCCAATGCAATTTGTGAAGGAGTAAAAAGCAACTGGGCGTCCGTAAAAAAGGATGTATATAGGTAATCCCTTGCAGGTTTTCTAAGCATGTCAATCTTATCAATATTTCTTCCTGCATATCTAGTTTTTACATCAATAATGAACCCTTCGAATGGTCTTAATGGATTATGAACTGTGAGGTGAAAATTTAGTTCTTTGATTAAAATAAGTTCAATAGAAAGTATTGCATCTCCATATTTACGAGCATAATCTTCGCCATGATCTCTCGCTTCTCCTTTTAACAAATGATGAACATTCCATACAAACTGATCCATTGAAATATTAAATTCGTCAGTTTTACAAGAAAGCCATATCGCAGCTAACATCATAAGTTTTGGATTATAATCCATAACAGAATACCGAAGGTAAAGTCGTTTCATGTACTGGCAAGCTGTTCCAATGCTGGTAAGAGGGATTTGAGGATTAAAATGTCTACAGAATTCTTTTATCAGTTTGTCATCATACCATCGCAGTAATTGTCTTTCCTCGTTTACTGTAAGAAAGAAACTATCATCATTAATATCACGTTCAGGACTTTTTTCCACATAACATTGTCTGTAAACTCGATTCACTTGCTCTCGTGCTTTTGATATTTCTGAATCATTTTTAAACGTCCAATATTTCCGCTGAGTACTTGAATGATACATTCCCAGTTCTAAGAAATTAATGCATTATAGGAACTAATTTAATTGTTAAAAAAAGTTTGTAATCTGTAAAATAAAATTAATAAACAATTTTCACTGTTATTATATAGGAATTAATATTAACGCAAACAAAAAAGAAGGGGAAAAGTTTTACTCAACCTTTTTTCGACATGGCCATATGTACTAGCGTCAATATTGTTAAACCCAGTAATATTTGCAAATAGCCTGACAAAAATTTTATTTTTCGAGTTTCCAATATCATCTTCGCAACGAAGAATTTTAAAAGTTTTCCCATATTCCCATTCGAACTTATTGGTTGCTATGCAGTGCGTACGACACTTAGAAACGCCTTCCCAATATATTGTAGCGTGTATATTGTAATGGAATGGTTCAAGTACAGCTCCAACATCTTTATTAGTAATTTTGATATGAATGAAGTCTTCATCAATGGTTATTTGATAGCAAGAATCATTCGTATTAGTATCATCAACTTCTAATGAAAGATAAGAAGCAAGCTGCGACAAAGCTTTAAGCATACTTGTTAATTGTTTTGATTTATTTAATAATTCATCATTTTGGCTACAAAGAAATGGTAGATCACTCAATAGTTTTGAAATAGAATCATGTGATGTTTCGAATGAATACTCCTGTAAAAGGTATTTGGCATTGACAACTACAATAGAAAAATTGTCTTCGTATTCTTGAAAAGTCCATACAGTATCGGATTGTTTTATACCAACTTGCTGTTCATCAAAGAAATATGTACAGGTGGCGGACTTATTTACACCCCGTGTAAAATCAGATATATTTTGAAGAAAAACTTGGGAAAATGATAACAAATTATTTTTTTCTAATATGAAGGATTTAATACTACTGGATAAATTTAACCAGCAAATATGAAATTCATTGTCCTTAGATACTTGAGAAGCACAGGAGTGAAGCACACATACAGTTTTTTCGTATCCGACTAGCATTAAACCCGGTTTTGAAGTGGATTCATCATCATCATTTTTACAACAATCGTTGGAGCCAGGCTCAAAATTCGAGCTCAACACTACTGGGCATGCTGCTGCACATGATTCTGATAAATTACAAAGACGATGTAATTGTTTTTGTGAGCTGCCATAAATAGCAAGACTGCAAAACCAAACATCACCCCCAGGGTAAAAAATACAAACAACTGGTGAAGTTTTAAAACTAACTCCAAATAAAGACATAAACAGATAAGAATCCAAATGTTGGATATTATTGAGTGAATTAAAATATGGAATAAAAGGATTTTCATCTGTATTGAATAAGACAATATTCAGACATGAATCATTGACTTGAATAGAAGGAATGATGGAAATAGACTGAAACGTATGAAAATCTTTTTCGGTAGAACTCGAATTGTCACCATTTTTCAACACTGACCAAGCATTGTGGAGTATGTTTGGGTTAAATAATATCATTTTAAATTCTTTTTCAGCAGTTTTACCAATTATAAGTATATTTCCTCCACTACATACAATATCGAATATATACATCCCTTTATATTTATACACAGAAGTCATTCTCTTGATGACAGCTTCGCCGTAACTAGCATCTTCCTTTTTCAACATAGATAACGCTTCCTTAGTTGTCGGAAGCAGTATTATGAAAATAGAACCTTTGCAAGTTCCACATAATAGTGCTTTTCCAGCGGTATTAGTTTCATTTGTAGGAATATTGATAATCGTTCCACATGTTATTTCTTCTGGTAAACGGAATGTTTTTATCTTCCTTGAATCCGCGTATAACAAAATATAACGATATCCAAATGATAGAATTGTTACTCTTGTGGCACGAATGGTGTAATAAATCAAAATCTTTTTCTGATTAAACTTCGGGAAGCAATCTATGATAGTTATCTTCTTCTCCATTTCACTTCTACAACAGGTTATAAAACAAGAACATCTTGTAGTCTAATTTCACAACATAAAATTTTTTGTTACTGCTGTATTGGTTGGTATACCTGCACTGCACAGAACTTTTGACTATAAAGAAGGCTGAAACAGGATATGATTTACAAATGAATCCCGGCGGATCGGTAAGTCAATAAGACAGGTCAATCATAATGGCTAACCACAGCTTCTCGTTCGGTTACCAGTTTATGTCAGTATGTCGGGTATGGGATTAGCGACAAATAGTTCAGAAATCCTCTCGCACATAATTATCCCCTGTAGGATTGAACCTGGGAACTCACGCAGGGTAATCAGAAGTATGGTGGCGAGCATATTATTTAAGCACCACGCTGCCAAGCATATCTGCATATAGACATAGAAGGTCAAAACCAAGGCGCGGCGGTGTGGCTCATCATGCTAAGCGTTAGGAATACGCTCGCCACCGCACCTCTAATTACTCTGCGTGGGTTCGCAGGTTCGAATCCCATGCAGGATGGTTATGTGCGATAGGATTGCTGGACTCCTCGCCGTCGTAGGGTGGTTCACGTAACCGCTGGTCGGTTACGGCTTCCTCCACCATCAAGTCCCGACATGGAATGGTAACCGGACGAGAGGCCATGGTTCGCCATATGGATACGCCGTCGTATTGGCTTTCCTCTCCCACGGGATAATTATGTAAATCCTATTCTAACCAAACCAAGTCTATTTGCAATACCTACAATAAAATGAACCATACTTCAGTACCATGTGGCTATCATTTCAATTTAGCTTTTAACTTGAGTCAAATTCAGTGGCTTATTGCTATGACCTACTAACCTCAAATCTATTCTGATAAACAGGAAAATTTGGTTAAATAGCAGCACTGCACATGTCCCACATGCTTCAGTGCTTTGATCGCAAACGGTGGTTAACGTTGGCCGGGATGCAGCATCCGTATTTTAACAATACAGAGCCGCCGTTTACTCATTCCCAGGGAATGGCAAAATCGAAATATTACACATAAACAAACATCGCACCTACAACACTCTGACACTGCAAAACTGACACTGCAAAAACCGGTTGGCGCGGCGGTGTGGCTCAACGGGCTAAGCGTTAGGAATACGCTCGCCACCGCACCTCTAATCACTCTGCGTGGGTTCGCAGGTTCGAATCCCATGCAGGGATGGTTATGTGCGAGAGGATTGCTGGACTCCTCGCCGTCGTTGGGTGGTTCACGTAACCGCTGGTCGGTTACGGCTTCCTCCACCACCAAGTCCATGCTTCCGAAAAAAACAAACAATACAGTAAAAACTAATCCCATACCCGACTTGGAATGGTAACCGGACGAGAGGCCGTGGTTCGCCATATGGATAAGCCGTCTTATCGGCTTTCCTCTCCCCCGGGATAAATATGTAAATCCTATCCTATCCTATCCTATCCTCAGCCAACAATGGTCATTATTGAGAGGGATCAGAACGTTTCGTTTTCGTTCAAGTGCAGTTTTAAGTATTCTATGGCGTCTGCAGCTGCCGCAAAACCATGGCGGTATTTCCATACCATGGCCGCTACGGCCAAACCTATGGCGACTGACTTTTTAGCTGCCACAAACCAATGTCGAGCTGCCGTTACCGCGGCAGCAAATTGAAAACCAATGGCAGGTAAAATTTTGCTGCCGTAACCGCGGCAGGTGGGCCGTAAGGACAGGGCTGTCCCTTAGGGTGACAAATATTGGGTAAGTTGGAACGTTTTTCTTATGGATACAGTCTTGATGGATTTGGGGTTAGGGTTAGGATTTAAGTAGATATAATTCCGCATGATCAATTAGAATTTGGTACATTAGTTTGTGAATATACCGTTAATACTGATTACTGAATACAGAATAGCGCTATAAAACCATGGCAAGAGCTGCCGCGGTTCGTTCGTGGCAGGAGCTGCCATGAAGTGGTAAGAACTGCGGCTCTTTTCGTTGCTGATCGGTAATATTTTTATACCCTTTGGAGTCGCGGAGCTGGAGCCGGATTTTGACTAATAAAACTAGGTAGTCGATATTTTCAACAAGAAATAAAAAGTCTCTCACAAGCGTTATGAGTCTTCATTGGTAAAATACCTGTATATTATATAGGTATTTTCGGAATATATTATTCTCAGCTTCAAATTTTAGGTCAATCTTTGGCTGGGATAAAACCAACGACTAACATACCGGATAAAATCGAACCTTCGACTCGACACTTTTATATAAACGTGTTATTTGTATGTTCGACTCTCACAATCTATATTGGCCTAAACCAGGGGTCGGCAACCTTTTGTCGCTCGCGGGCCAAAATTAAGGTTGCAAGTCATTGACGGGCCGCACTTATTTTTAGAAAGTTTAAAAACCTAACGGATGGTACTTCTTAAAATAAAAATCAAGCAGTGATACATCTCTCGAATAGAATATAGTTTTTATTTCCTCATTGCATCTCATAAAATTCCATTTCAATAATTTCAGCGCCATTGAACCCTTTGCACGTAGCATCAACTTTTCTGCGTTTTGTTGCCATTTGCCTAATTATAATTAAATTATATGCTCATTAAACGAGTAATTGTGAATTATATAATTGTTAGGTTATAATATAATTTAGTCTAAAGAATATATTCGTCAAAGCGGATGTTTTGTTACTATAATTTAGTGAAGCGTCGCGGGCCGGATCCGGCCCGCGGGCCGTAGGTTACCGACCCCTGGCCTAAGTAGTAAAATCGGAAAATGTGGAAGTTACAAAATCACAGCTAAGGGGTCGTTGTCTTTAGAGGAGTCCCACTTTGATGTCACAAAAATATGGTAACCCTAATTATAAACGGATGTTTTGTTACTATAATTTACTGAAGCGTCGCGGGCCGGATTATAGTGCTCCGCGGGCCGGATCCGGCCGCGGGCCCTAGGTTACCGACCCCTGATCTAGGGCCTCATGTAAGCCACGTTCTACAGAAAATGATAAAATCCGGTAGCTGATATTATCCCGAGATAAGTATAAAACTGGTCTATATGTAAGAATTTTGACCCGGTTTTTAAAAGTTTAAAAGACAGTCGCGCAAGCAGTCAATTTTGAGAACCAGGTTGTGTGTAAACAGATTTTACCAAAAAAAGACTTATACCACATTTCGTGAATAACTGGTTTAGGCCAACGGCCGGCAACCAACTTGCCTAATCTAATGTTAAACAAGTTCATGGACGCCATCTTGTGCCATATTTGGGAAACGCGAAACAATGGATCTTATGGGAAATCTCGTCGTGTTGTTGTACCGAATCGAAAAAATCCGCTGTTATAAGGGCTAGAATGAAACCGAAGGGTGTATTTTAAACTTTAAGATATATACTATCCAAGTATATAACGCAATTAGGAATAAAAATCTATCTAATGCGTTAAATTTGACCACAAACACAGCGTAGAACCATTTTTGGTCATTTTTTCAAAGATTTTATAGTAATACGCCAATTTGAGGCTGTAAAATGTCTCCGCATCAATCCTACAATGTCATTTGTTCTTCTAGCGCAGCTTGGAGCTGAGCAGTAGGGCATTATGGAGCTTGGCAGACGAAAAATGTTAACCAGAAAATAGAAGGAGGTGAAGGAGATGGCCATTGAAGCAAAGTTGGGTCGGCCGGTAATTTCGACGAATAAATACAACTTTTCATCTGTGACGTCATAAGGAACGCCATTGTCAAATGGTTAATTATGACGATTAGAATGGCCAATTCACTTTGGAAGCAACTCGGAACCGGTATACTTGTCTTCAAAGACAATTTAATGTACCATAAATGTGATTTGACCAACATGAAACGATATAAGCATGTACGGCTAAGATTCCACTTCAAAACGCGACCTTCAAAATTTTTCAATTGGAAGAGGTGCAGACTGAAAATTGTGGCAAATGACAAAATCAATTGGAAGAGGTGCAGACTGAAAATTGTGGCAAATGACAAAATCAATTATTGACAATTGTATTAGTTTATCACATACTCAAGCATTATAATTACCAGAATACGTGACAAATGTATGCAATCTTTAATTAAGACACTTCTCCAATATGACCTTCTTATATTAAACAAAACTATATATTAATCCTGATTGGAAAAGTATAATCCCCCAAAGAAAAGATAGGCTATTTTTACCATAGAATTATTCAAAATATTCTACAAATTTCATATGGAACATAACTGTGGGAATGTGAACACATATCCACTTGCAACATTTTCATTAAGAATCCGTCAATAGCAACGAAAAAATATAGGAATTGCTACATAAGTATTATAAGTTGATTAGCAAAATAAGGCAAAAATTATTGTATATACAGTAGAGACAAGAAAATGGATTTGCAAGAAAAAGCAGACACAAGAAAGACATCAAAAGCATATATAAAGACAAATGATTATGTGGAGAATACCGATGAAGACATAGCATGTGTGGTCTATTATGTAAAAACGTTGATACAGTCATCATCTATCCTCATGTTTAAATCTGTTTCATCTGTGGCGGAGAATATCCTATATAAATAAAAATGAATAATTCAGGGCTAAAGACATATGCACATATAGTTTATATAGAATACAATATATCAAAAAACAATATGTGAAAATTCTAACAAAATTGATCAAATTATATAACCAACAGTTCAATTTCAGTTTAAGCCATGGTTTTTCCATCTAGGCCCTTGAAACCCCTTAGCCCCTGGGGGTCACAGCACTGTTCTATTTGAGGCGACGGGCGACAGCCTTCACTAATCACTAGATACCATTTGCAAACTATATTAATTTAAAGTAAATTGGTGGTAATTTGGTTAATTCTTTAGGCTTTTTTTTTATTATTCTTTCGCTTTCGTCTGTTGGCTTTTTATTATCAAACATAGGGAATAAATAAACTGATACCCATTCGATTGAGAAACAGCAGGTCATGAATCATGAAAATTTGAGAAACCTCTAACTTGAAATCAAAATATTTACAACACAGTCAGCAATCGAGGATCACAAAAATCAACAAACCATAGTTAGGGTTACAAACATACCTGGTGCCAATCCCATAGTCATCTGAGATGGATTTTGTGGAAGAATTCCAATTACTTGATTACCTTGTACAAGGTATATTGGCTGCATGTTGGTCTGAGGAAATTCTGGCAATGGTGGAACATCACCTGAAAACCGATTGAATCAAGTTTAGACTGATATGACTATGACTACCAAACAGTACTAATCTAATATACGGTCAAGCAAAACCAAAAGTCTTCGAAACAGAACTTGACATCATTGTTGTAATTCATTCGTTATTGGATACAAAGTGAATCTATGTATTCTTTTGCTGCAAAATTTTGCCATTGTGAAGAAATAGGTTCTTTCTGCACCTTTTAAACCAGCCAATTTCAAACTCTCAGTTAAGTATCGATGGAAGATGGAAAAGGTCACGGTAAGGATATTATTACTTTTTCTTCCATTCGGATTGGGCCTGATATATTACCCCAAATTTATCGAGTTCCTAATATAAACAGACGCACACCTTCATATGATATTCGGTACATGGCTCAAAAAAAAATTCAGTACTCGTATTTGCTTAAGCGAGCAACAAAAATGCCACGGAAAATCCAATAAAATGAACATTTTTTTTCAAATAATTACCTTGCAGATCATTTCCACCAAGCTGGCTTGTTGAAGACATCATAATTGGGTTGGAAAGAGGCTGGTATTGTACATTTTGCTAAGAATAATATTAAAAATTAATCCCAGTATTCAGTGGCGCAACCAGGCCATTTTCAACGGGGGGGTCCGACCGGAATTTACACAGTGCAACCACGACGTAAGTCGCAACGCCACTAGGTGTCGCCCCGCTGAAACACGATAAATTGCTCGTGGTTAAAAGGGAAACGCCATCGATTAAATCCCAGCCTTTCGCTTACCTTGCACTCGTTCATTAACGGCGCTTCGCTATGTCTTGCACCTCGTGGGTAGCAAAACGCCGTTCATTACATTCCAGCGAATTGCTAACGAAAAGCTGTTAATTATTTTCAACGTTTCCCTCGCTTTGCGCCTCGTGGATAGTGAAACACGGCTTGAATAAATTCCAGTGTTTCCCTCGTGCCGCGCCTTGCTCGTTGGGTGAATTCGTCAAGACTAAAAACAAAATGCACTTCTTGCGAATGGACCTTTTCCCGACCCTAACCCCAGAAAAATTCTAAACTAAACTGAAGCTCACCGGAAGACATAATGACAATTAAAATAATTGATTTACAACTAATTTTTGGAAACACAACTAAAAACTGACTAATTTAATGCAGGGATGTCCAAATCGAATTTAAATTCAAATATCGCAAACTTTAAATATATTTCGTGTTTATAATAATCCCGAATATGGCGCACATATCCTAGCGTCGTCGTCCATGTGTGGTTCGGCAATATATTACAGCTGACATGAAAGAATTTCGATAAACGCCGACTTGAAGAACTTATAAGACTTCGAGGACGTTTTTGATTGAAAATATTTTCTTATCGTGTATTTTAACTTAGTCGAGATGGTTTAGGCGTCCTCGGCAAATTGTGTCTTAATTAGTTGTTTTCATCCTCAGTTTCGATAGTGACCGAACATTACAGGAAATTTTTTCATTTCTTGTAATTTAGCGCGTATAAAATAGCTCTTAAATAGTATTTAATATCTATCGCGGATTTCGTCGGCATCCGGCGTTGATGACAAAAATACATAACAGCCGACATGAAATATTCAAATCAGCGCAGAGTTCAAAAATAAAACACGTTTTATGGTCCTAATATGCACATAGAAAGAAGAAAGGACAGAGAAATAACGACTAAAAACTAAGAACGGTATGGTATGTTTGTGTACTTTTGTTTACCATCGTCATCATAATCAAATTAGTTAAACCCGATTCCCAAATTTCCGTCCGCCAATAATGGAGAATAAAGATGGAAAAACGTGTTTTACTTTTTGAGTCGGCGTTGATTTAAATTTTTCATGTTATGTGTTATAATTTTTTGATTATAAACCAATACCTCCAACTTAAAATGAACGATATTGTTATCAACGACGGGATAACGATAAAATCTCCGATAGAAACCAAATAATATTTAGAAGCTATTTTATAGATTGCAAGAAATTAAAAAATTTCCCGTTAAGTTCGATAACTATCGAAACTGAGGATGAAAACAATTAATTAGGGCAGGATTTGCTTTTAAGTTTATTGCCGAGGCGCACAACATATCTTGACTAAATTGAAATATACGATAACAAATGTAAAAAATTTTCAACCAAAAACGTCCTCGACGTCTTATAAGCACTTCAAGTCGGAGTTTATTGAAAACCTTTCACGACGACTGTTAGTTATTGCCGTGCCACACATGGCTGCTTTCGATTGCGATAAAAAATGAAATAATTGTGAAATGTTTTTAAATCAGAACGTGGACGGGGCGGTAGGATGTGTACGGCGTTTTCGGTTTTCGGCCTTTCATATGTAGAAAATCTTAAGTTAATCTAAGCAATATTTTTCCGAAAATAATTTTCGTATCCAGATTTTCAGAGTTTCTACTGCATTATTATAACATGAAGACGGGCGGCGTTACATTGCGTCAAGATGATGAAGCACGAGAGTATTCGTCACAAGAGAGAGAGAGATAGCATTATGCTATTGTCGCTTTCAATTCGCATCGACAGCGCGCGATTTCTACTTTTTTGAGGTAACATATCTCATTTTCGAATACAACGGGATACGCGGGGATAGCGATTATTACGTAACTAACAGCAAAAAGGTATGATTGAAGTCGGGCGGTGTTAAATTACGTCGAGGTGATAAAGCACTGGAAAAAGTAGTTTTCACCGGATTGTTATGACCGTAGAACGACGTTGTTTGAACGTAGAACAATAATAAAAAAAAACGAATTTCAAACGGGGGGACACGACCCCCGTAACCCCCCCGCTGGTTGCGCCACTGCCAGTATTATCCACACAAACTCATGCTGCATATAACTTGAGTCTCGCCTGGCAGTTACGTTCCATTAAAATTAGGTATAAGATGTATTTACAAGCTAAGCTCTATAATAAAGTATATTTTGAATAAATGTTTGTGACATACTTTGTAAAAAATGCATCTGAATGATGTAATAGTGAATAGGTGGTAAAGGTAACACTAATTAACAACTAGAAAATGACAATCAATAACAATTTGATAATCTCTTAACAAGCTTAGTATTAAAAATGATAAACATTATTGTAAGGGTGTAATACACCCAAAAGCTGGCATCATTATTAAACATCTTATTTAAAGACTTTTTCACACTGTACCACTTGTTTACAGTAACAAATTATCGTTGTATCATACCCCAAATGATGGACATTTCTTCCTTCCATCACAACATACAGCTCGACATCCAAATCCAAAAGTAATCCAAGATACAATGACACTCACAAAGCAGAATAAACCAGTGCATGCATTCAATATGTACAACACAGTTGGGTAGCTATTGATTTGATTCTGAACACAAGCCATTCGAATTTAGAAATGCAAAATTATTTTTTTTTATTTTCGAGTTGGAGATGGATATTCTAACATAAGCAATAGGGGAAAGTGAAATCTCAATTAATGAAGTTAAACTGTGCAAGTAAATTTCAGAAGATACCAACAAAATTATAGCATAAATTAAGGTTTCCAAAACAGGGCCTTCTAGCGTCCTAATGAGGGAGGCCACGAAGTGACACTCTCTTCTCTGGTAGTAACTTGACTGCACAGAAAACTCAAATCAGAAGCAAACACAGGATAAAACTTCAAAATACTGCATCACCATAAAAAAAACTTCCTGATTGCAATTCCATAAGTACAATTCGAAATCCTCTAAATGAAAAGCAACAAGTACTAAAATAGTCTTACATAGTCTTTATCGAACATGGAAAAGACAGCGACAGTTATTGCTCCACTTGCAACCAGAACATTGAGAATACTTAGAATCATCATGACGGCAATCTTGAATTATGAAAAAGAACATAAGATTAAGTCAATCAGAACAGAAAAAATGAAACCAGGGGTTATATTCACTAAAACAGACAGTCCCCAAACTCTTAATAAAACTAAAATAAGGAAAATCGGAATAAAATTATGGCCTAACCCGGTACATTAAGGCTGCCCAACCCACGGCCCGCCGTATAAAGTTTGTAAGCAGACTTTTTAAATTTTTACTATACATTTTTACATAGATTTTACTATACATTGGTATCTTTCGTGATTTTGGTGTAATTATTCCTGCCATCTATCTACGTTCAAATGCCGGTTCTTATTATTACGTATGTGTCGTACGTCTTGACGTAAGACGTAAGTCTTGCACCCTGGTGGATATCAAGTCAGCTTTTTTTATTTCTCGCAAAACTGTGCGTTCTGTTCGACGAACTCGAAAGATATTGTGCGATCATTGGGGACGAACGCTGATCGCAATTATAGGAATGAACTTGAAGCCTGAAGCCTAAGCCTAAGTGATTGCTTTCTTTCGCGTCGCCTTTGATTGTCTTTATCGCCAACCTAAAATAAAAAGTCAACAATATCTTGGGTACTGGTCCCCGGACTCAGTGTTTTTTTATGTTTGTACTTTTGTTCATGTTATGTTCGCGTTAAATACGATTTTGGAAATATCGTCATTGCGTATCCGTCAATAATTCTGATGAAATTGACGTAATGGCACTGCTACTTATTAGTCACAAATCAGTATATATCGGACTATTCATTTAGAAATCTTCGTTATGTTACTTCATTAAATACTTGTATTGATGTTTCAATTTTTCGAAACGGCCCACTAAAACTTGATATTGCTGCGACATTGGCGCACATTATGTTCATTTAAACATTAAAGCAGTATCGTGGCTACTGAAAATGAATGAATAAAAACACTTTAACGCAAATATACCACTCAATTTTGACGTGATGTGTGTGGCTCTTGCGTGGTCGTCAAAAAACCGCAAGTATGTTGTGTAATGATTGATTCTTTGTTTCGGTCGCCCGCGAGTGTTATGTCTACGCCCCGTTTACCAGTTATTCAAATAGTAAACTGCTATTCTAATATTCGAATAATTTGCCAGCCCTACCCAGTAACCAGAAAGTAACCAATTTTAATAATTTGATTGATTTTATGTTAATAAACTCGCCTTTTATGTATTATGTAATTACCTACACCAAAATCAGGTCTTATCTGGTATTAATGTTCGGTACAAAGGTTTACGGCCCGCGACCGATTTCGCGACGTGAAAGTGGCCCGCGAGGCGAAAAAGGTTGGACAGGCATGCGGTACACATACTACAGGAGTACCCAATTTTCTGCTCATGATAATCAGTAATATATCTACATTATTCACACTCCAATACCGTAAGTCTTCTTGAATTTTATTCCATTTATAATGCATGGTATATATAATAGATCCATTTCAAGGTTAAAAAAACTTTACCCAATTGGTTTAGAATTCTATGGAAGCCTATATTAAACCAATCATTTATTATGTCGTTGTGTGCATTCCAATTAAAATGGCATTATTGAGTAGTATATAAAAGGATTTATAATATTATTGCATGATTTTATTTTATCAAAGACAATTCTTGCAGGTTACATAACAGTTCAAAACTCACAAAGCATGTTGTCTTTCTCTTTGCGGCCAATATTCCAATTATTCCACTTGCTATAAACTGAAACAAAAGTATTACTTCATACAAAGTTATAATAACAAGTTTATTAGAAAAATCACAGTATGTCCTTACTGACAATGTATGCCAGAACTTTAGAGAGATATGTTGACCTCCAGAATATAGATATTGAAAAAATCACAGTTTTACGTAACACTCGGTATATGTGATGTGACTATGGTCCAAATATTTTGAACATAGAGGCAATGCGCTAATTAGAATAGGATTCACATATTCATCCTGGAGAGAGGAAAGCCGATAAGACAGCTTTATCACAGAGCGAACCACTGCCTCTCCTCAAGTTACCAGTTCATGTCGGGTATGGGATTAGTTATCCAGTTTTTTGTTTTCAGACGCATGAACTTGATGGTGAAGGAAGCTGTAATCGACCAAGCGAGCTGACTGATATCCAACTATTTATTCATTTTTTACAGCATGTACTACTAATGGATACACTGTTCATATTCAAACTTTAAAATACACAAATTTTAACTTGAAGCTCTTAATAATCTCTTACCATAAATCGAATTTTAAAAAATATATACGCTGAAAAGGATAGATTTATTATTTGTATTAGAAAAGTTTTAGAAATTTATAAATATTTAAAATAACTTACCATAAGACCTGACCAAATTCCAGGAGATGAATATGTGGCATAGTAGTTACACATGTGCACATAAGGAGCTGGGGTGGACTCATGATTTCTGCGTGTATCATATTCATCATAATAGTAATTTCTGTATTTGCATACAGATCCCAACGCAATCGTCAAAGACGTGATTCCCATACCAATACAGATAACGCCAATCAAAATAATTGCAACCTGAAAATTATATTTATTAATGATAAGTGACGTAAGTGTTATCAATGAATGAGTAAACATTTGAAATAATCTCATATTTAAAAAGGGGAAAATTGTAAATAAATGCAAATCTGAATCTGTCTGTATGAAGCACATCAAGTAAATGTAAAATTAATCCATATAAAATGCTCGCCCAATATTTTCAGGAAAATAGGCCAAATGAAACATCAATTACCACAGGTAATTTAATCAAAGAAATATAAAACTTACGCCCAATCCTTTGACAGGTCCATGATAAAAACCAGGCCGAGATTTACTTTCATTTTCTTCCTCCATGCCTAATGATAATTTTCAAGATATGATGTACTTATTTCAAAATATTATTTATTATCATGAATATCTGCAAGAAAGAATTGTCAACGTTTATTGTACTACTGGCGGTATATTAAAAAATATGAACTCATGTATACAAAAAAAACTTTCCGCTCATAGAATACGAAAATATATTTAAATAAAAGCATATATTCTATAACTTAATGAAAAATCAATATTACTGGGACTAAAGTTTATTTATAACCCACAAAGCCTCTAGTTATTACCTGAAACCACCCCCTTTTTTATTATTCATTTGATTTTTGATAAAATTAACTATAGATTTTAAAATAATTCTAAAATGAAACCCGTCACAAATTGCACTAAAGTATTTTTAATAGGATTTTTCGAAACCTGACGTTTTTTACGCTCTAAATAAATCAGCATTATTCAGTGATTTTTCAAATTCTGAAACTATATTTCGAAACATTTCTTCTGCCTGTTCAGGTGTAATATTTCCTTGATAATGAAACTGATTATTTTTAGACCACGACGAGTGGCCATGTTGATTATTAAAACCATGAAAAGGTGACTCGTGTTGTTGTCTATTTTCGCCTGGCTCGATCCAAATAAATCATATTGTTTGCGTTTCTCACGATCTCCGAGCACACTGTACGCTTCAGCGATTTCTTGAAATTTGTTTGGAGAGCCTTTATTATGAGGGCTGACGTCTGGATGGTACTTTTTTGCGAGAGAAAAATAAGCATTCTTTATTTGATCTCCTGTCGCATTTCTTCGTAATCCCAATACATCGTAATAATTTCTCGCTGATGCAATATGAGAAGTCATAAAGCTGCGCGTGTTTGCTTTTATATGTTTTCCAGTCATAAACATGCTCCTATCTTTATGTGAAAGGCACATGTACGGCAGATATTACTGCCAAACAACCGCCCGATCATTCTATATATATATATCTATATTATATTATTAAATCTGAAACTGAAAGCAAAACAAATTAACATGTTGAATTTTATCAGGGTGGTGTAGGAATAAATAGTCAATTACAAACTGAACATGCTCAATAATATTCCTTTCTCAGAATATCGCAGTACTGACCGGTTATCATAGGTAAACGGTAAATCAAATACATCATAAACCACACATGGTACAATATGAAATAAATCGATGATTTGAAGGTCATTCCATGAAGTATTCAGGATATCAGAAGGTACTGTCAGCATTAATAAAACATAAATTTTCCACAAAGAACATCACCAATGTCTTCAACATGGAGTTGATAACCTGATATGTTGGTTCAAGATTTTTCAATGGACAACAGCAGAAATGAAATATAAAGAAAGTACATTTCCAGTTCATCGAATAATAATTAACCCAATATTGTTCAGCTTTTCATATCAAACGAACGAAGAGCACTATCGTAGTTTGAAGTATGCAATCGGTTTTATAGTAAAATAACTTAATACAAAAAATAGCGATTAGGAATATCAAAATGGCCCTGGTTTAAAACAAAGACCAAAACATAATTATTCCAGTGAGTAATCACATTTTTTTTACTTCCTCATAGCAAGGACAAAGATGGAGGTAAATCATAGTAATATTCAGAACAGACTACAATAAGTAGCCGAGAAGCTTTAGAATTCATAAAACTCTTTCCAGTTGCTTCTCTAAAATGTTTTTCAGCTCATGTAAAGTAACTTTTGATGGATTTTTGAGGGCAAAATTGCAAAGTAATGGTTTATGAATGCCAGGAACTCCAATTTTCTTTGCATTTTTATTTGTCTTTTCAACAAATAAGCTTGCTACAGCTCTTGCAAATACATGATACATTTCTCTGTCGTCACCCAAAAGAACTTTAGTAGTAAAAGTCGGCATGCTCGATACTTTTTTGTCTAACATTGATTCATTTAATGCCACGTGTATCATCGTACCAAACCTTTTATATTGGGTTACAAGAAGAAAATTATGATCAGTAAAAGACGCCGTTAAAATATCAGTCATTTGTCCATCAATCTCTCCTAAATATGATTCACTCAGAAGTGGGTCTTTTGTATTTCCATCCATTTTTTTATCAATATTGTAAATTACTTTTTTGATCCACCAAGACAAGGAGGTGTATTAGCAATTGTTTGTCCTGATTTTTCCCACTGATCTGGAGTTTTTGCTTGAATGGACAGAGCGTGAACAGAACCTTCGAGCTCTTTGGATAAAATATTGTTTATGTCTCTATGTCTGTCAATCAAACGTTTCCCGGAAAAATTGTCAGACACTACAACAACCTAAGGATAATTAAAAGAATAAGGTTAATAAACTGAAAGTATAACAAAAGCATGTTATTCTCTGAAAAGATGTACCTGTGAGTACATTTTCCTCTATAAGGCAATAATAGCAGGGATGTACAAACAGACTGAATATTCAAATACATTTTAAAAATTTATATTCAGTATAAGTAATTATTACTTAGGATTTATTTAAAATCTTCTAATTTGAAAATTTGTCACCCCAAGCATATAACATTTGATGGTAACATTAACAATTATTATTAGCAAAAACAGAAATTTTACTAGAAAAGCATAGGAATTAAATTAATAGTTTTGAGAAAATGTGATAGGACTAATTTAAGTAAAATGATTCCAGTCCCATCTATCCCAACTAAAAGCAACTGCATGTATGTAAAATTGTAATAATGATGTGAAAAATAAAATACAAATAATTTATAATATGACAAATATATCACAATAACATAATTCAAATAACTACAAAATCTTTGAATTACTTTAAAATGAGTTTCTGATCCTTTTGGCACGTTGTGTTTGAAGCTCTCGTTTACAACATCAAGATATACTGGATTGAAAGTTTCAGTCAGTTTTTTAATAATACTCGTTTCCACAGGATTCAATGCACTTGCCATATAGCGAATGAAAATTGAAGATTTATGTAGTGGAAATTTTAACATTCCAGATAAAATTATTTTCCTCTTCTTTTCCAAATGTTTACGAACGGTTCGACTGAAAATGGTTCAGGAAGGGAACGTATTTTCCTTTGTTCGGCAAAAAGAACTTTTTCACCAACTGAAAGATAATTATAGGTCGTTATTTTTATGTTGAAAATATAGTATGCAGGGAAGGTAATAAACGAATTGAATATTGTAACACATGATTTTAGTAGAATGCAAAATATTTTCATTTTAACTCTGATGGTCAAACAAAAAACTTCATTTTTACATTGCATGAAATATTACGGTAATTATTTTAAATGTAAAATAAAAATAATTTATTTTATACTATATACTATTCTGCATTACCAAATTCAATTTCTGTAATTCAAAAATGATTTGTATAGATTTCTTCATTGAGCATGGGATATATTTGATATTCCATATTCAATAATATTTTTTCAGAATGTTTTTGGACTATTAGATTATATGATTTTAGCCAGCCCTGAATTAGCAAGTTATTAATATTGTAAGATTATATCTTTGAACAACACCTGATAGATATAGAAAATTATACAATTAATTTTATTAAGCTCATTCATCATTTCCTGAATAATGTACCGTACCTGAAATCGTAACATTTTTTAAAAAAGGGCCGAATTAAAATATAAAGGTCTGGAATATTAAAAATTTTTGTTCAAATTGAATGCAGCATTTTTTACTGCAGATAATCATTCCCTAATGACTGATAAAATAATAACTTTAAAATATGCTAACAGCAAGCCAGCAATTTGAACATTCTATAAATGACAATAAAAAACAATATAAAAAATAGATGTTGGGTTTAAATCTATAATTTATTGAAATTATCATTTTCGTGGCAACAAAAAGCGAATAAAAAGAATTTCAGCACCATAACAAAATAACATGATAATCCAACATGATAATTTTAAATTTTGTCCATTATATTATTTAAAAAAAAATCAAGCTCATTTATTTTGCAATTCAAATTTAATAAATATTGTTATATAGGAAAGGAAATAATTACAAAAAATTCCATAAACGTTACATAAAAATGGAATTTTGCAAATTAATGAAACTGTAAAATGCATACCTTTTCTGTCAAATCTGAGATGCACAACTTTCGGAGCGGTTCGTTTTCTAACGTAATTATAAGTAGTACCAGTTCCTGCCATAGACACCACACGAACCAGTATATTCCTTAGAAAGGAACAATTTATTCTATTATTTTAAATATATGTTATGATCAATTTCATATTCATTGCGCTGAATAAATCCACTATAGGGTTTTATCAATATATTATATATGCGCTTGAACAAAAAGGAAGATTTGAGAGCCTAAACCAGTAAACACGGTAATATCAAGCAACAATTCTGCTTTGGCTCTTTATGTCGGCTTACAATATGTCCCGGTTTAGCAAGAATCGTCCCGATTTTGACAAGCTGCACGGCATTGTGCCAGTTTTTTGTTTACATGGTAACCCTACCTTTACTGCTTTATGCAGTTATGGGAGTTGAACACTAACCATGCTTTTAAACCGGTGGTTCTTAAACTTTTTGAGCCGCGCCCCCCATTTAAAAATTTTCAAGCTTCGCGCCCCCCTATTTTTGCTTTGAAAAAATGCTTTTGTGATGGGCAGGTTGCTATATATTAAGATGGCGCTATAAGAGTGTTGGTCTCATAGCGTCATCGCTCAGATTGTTTAGGCATAAAACGCTTCGGAGTACAACTTCGTTATTCACTGTCGTATGTATAAAGCCAAATAATGGTTGGTCATCATACATTCTCGTTTTTCCCCTCAGTTTGCAATACCTGGTAAAGTCAAACTCAATTTTAAGTAAAACTAAACACGCAATAAACCTAAGCTTTGATTATTTTCCGCTTAAACGTTTACATAAGACACGTAAAATTTCAATCAATTGTTTACTTCATCACTATTGAGCGATGCCAAAATTATTTGCTGTTTGTTAAAAATAACCAACAATTACAGACTCCTTGGCTTGCCTAACGTTTCAAACAAAATGGAGAAGTACAAATGAATTTATGTAAATTTAAAAGCAGTCCATTTTTTAATAGTTATTATGCATGTGGACGTTTCCCCGGCCCTTGACCGCTGAAAAATAAAGTTGCCAAGGCGTTTGCGATTGCATTTTGTTTAAATCTCGATTGTTTTCGTAAGCGTGGCCTGCTATTTAAGCTGTAAAAATCTTGATTTTGTTGTTTATTCTCCCTAAATCAGAAATTTCTCTCGACATATTCTTGTGTCGCGAAGACGATTATAATTCCTTTTTTTGTTTTTGAATAGAACCAGGACACCTCTGAAGAAAACGAGTTAGTTATTATTAGAAAAACATCGGCGACGAGATGCTTAAGATAGAATAAATTAGTGAATCTGCAACCAAATATTTCTTTATTGTAAAAGCGAGATTATAAAATACTAAAAATAAAACGAAAAAACACCATGAGTTTTGTTTTGGGGTGGACCGCAATCTTATAAATTCCTTGTGCCTGCGGCACACCAGTACTGTTCTAAAACTACCGACTTGAAATAAATTTTACTCCGTGGGATTTTATCGCAGACTAAGGAATTTCTGTAATGGTGTTAAAATTAATCGAGCATTGCGATAGAGCGGAGTAAGAGTTGTAGGGACAGCTCATAATGGTGAAATTGGTAAGAATACAAATCAAAATGTAATCGGGCACTTTGCCACACATTTTTATGGTTGCGGATTACCGTGGTATTTTGGAGTAGTGGTGCTTTTATTTTATGGACGCAATCGCAGATTTAATTTATCACAATTTAATGAATAAAGCAACCATTTTAAATGAGTATATCGGTCATGGATTGAATATTTTATTCAACGCGAAAACCATTACATATCCGTTGACAAAGTCGGCTCCTATAATGACTGGCGTATTCTCGAGGACTGCCTCAGGATTCGTACCGCGGGGATTTTGAGTTGATGAATATGTATTTTAATTTTACTAAATTGAATTTTATTTTAATTGTACTAAAGACAACAAATTCGCATGAGTGCAATATATATTAAAACTAAATATAATCGGGCAGTTGATCACACTTTAATATGTCCGCGGATTGGCGTGTTATTTTAGATCGGTGATGAGTTTATTTTGACATGAGTCGCCGCAACCGCGAGTTACCTTGAACACAAATGAATTAAAATAGAGACCCATTTTGAGTTCTTGTAGTTATTACGAAACAGAAAAATTTATTATACCATGAAAAAGCCGGTATTTTCAACGAACGCGGAGACCGTTTCAGGAGCCGTTACATGAAAATTTCCGATTCCGTCTTGTGACCTTTCGCGCCCCCCCTGTGAGCATCTCGTGCCCCCCAGTTTAAGAACCACTGCTTTAAACCCTATACAGTTAAGTTATTTCAAATAAAAATAATTTTACAATGACAGAATAACCAATTACTGGGTCTGGTATAGTTTAGTACCACATGAACTTCTAGTTTGCCTGGCTCAACAATTTTTGCATATGTCAGTATGTCAATCCTAACCCCCACCTGACTACGTCACCGAAAAATTACGTCATTTCGAAGTCACATTGGCATAATAAGGCCCACCAAAGTATGCGAATGATCGTCCAAAACGAGCAGACGATCACCCCTTTGGATGGCATAGTCAGGTGGGGGTTAGCGTGTTGAATTCTAAGCACCAAATACAGTAAATTTTTCGGGTCTGGTATAGTTTAGTACCACATGCACTTCTAGTTGGCCTGGCTCAACAATTTTTGCGTATGTCAATCCTAACCCCAACTTGTCTACGTCACCGAAAAATTACGTCATTTGGACGTCACAGTGGCGTAATAAGACCCCCCAAAGTATGCGGATGGTCGTCCAATACGCGCATACAATCACCCGAAATCGAGCAAGCTATTTCTCTCGTTTTTTCGTCACAACGATCACCATCGTCGAGAGAGATCGTCGGCGTTAGCGAGTTCGTTATCGGCAGCGCAGATGCCATTTCGGGTGATTGTAACTATACTTTGGCAAGCCATATGACGTGATGGTGACGTCGTAGTGACATAATTTTTGGATGGCATAGTCAGGTGGGGGTTAGGAATAACATATGCAAAGTTCGTTATGCTACACCCACTGGAAGTACCGTACTTGTGGTACTAAACTACACTAGACCCAAATTTTTCTTCACATTACAGCATTAGGAATAACATATGCAAAATTCGTTATGCTACGCCAGCTGGAAGTACTTGTGATACTAAACTATGCTAGACCCCAAATACCGTACTGCAGTACTGAGATATGGTAATCTAACTCACGTGGATTTCTTTGACAAGGCTGTAAAAATAGATAAGTTGAGTTATACAAGTATTTACGGTAACTCACATATTTATGGTACCGGTATCGTAACTGTTAATTCCCTACATGTTTGAAATTTACAATATAATAGGAAGTAAGAAGACATACCTTGAGTCAATTGCATCACAGTCAGTGCCGAAAAACCCGCAAACACAGTCGGACGCAACTATGGCGCAATGGCTCTGAGTGTTTGCAGCCGGGGAGACGGACAACTCGCGTACCAGATGATCAATAATCGCTCACCTACACGAGCGGTTAGTTGTCCGTGATGTCGTATTTTCTATTGCGGCGTTTTTGTTAACCGCAATTAAAAAACTGTACGGATCAACTGATGAATCTCTCCAAGGGGTACGGTACGTTGGAAGGTTGATTCCTCTCTTGAACCAATTGTTTTACATGAGTACCATGTTGTTTATCTCCTGAAATTCATTCGTACATGTAAGGCTGGCTCCTTGCGTCCAAATCTACATTGAGTATAGTAGTCCAATAGCCAAAATTGTTTTTTTTTTAATTTGTGGGTCTTACTCCTCACTTTCAAATCTCATCATTTAAAAATTGATTTCACGGAAAAAAAATTAATTACTTTTATTTACTTCATTTTTTTGTTTGTTTTTTCAAATTTTGTGTCGTGAACTTCAACCATTTCTAATAATCTTATTTTACTGTGAATTTATCAGCGTAAACTTGGAGGGGGCTGACTTCGATGACCGCATGGTCGTATCGCTCCTTCCAGTCTACACCGAAAAAAGCGTACTTTTTTATAGCCACTATTTATTTATTATTATGACTGTTTTTTTCTGGTTGACGAAATAAATCTCTCTCTCTCTCTCTCTCTCTCTAGAATCTCCACCCCAAGTTAGACCAACTGTGGAATCTCCACCCCAACTAAGACCATCTAACTGTAAATATATACTACTACGACCTAACCCTACCAAATTATTAGAACAGGTCAAATAGGCTAAAGGATCAACTGGTATTATCAGCTTAGGTGGGTTAGGGGGAGGGGATATTCTTCAGTTGGGAAACGGGATCAACTGAAGTATTTCCACCCCAACTAAGACCAGATTCTTCAGTTGATTCAACTGTACTTTTTGAAATTAGAAATGACCATTAATTTATTCATTTTATACATATATTTGCAAACACACTAAAACTTAAATTTAGCAGACAAACCCCGAAAGTATGCCAATGTTACATTTGCGTTAACGACTTCCCGGCTCGGCGGTGTGGCGCACCGTGCTAAGCGTTAGAAATACGCACGCCACATAATCTCTGGTTACCCTGCGTGGGTTCGCAGGTGCGAATGCGGACCCCATGGGGATGGGTGAGGATTGCTGGATTCCTTGCTTCCGCAATTGTTGCAGACAAAGTTTCATTGTTTTATTTGTATATATTTGACCCGGAGATATCGGTCATTGTACTTTTGGTGAATTACCGCTCATGAACTGTTCGTGGGCATGAACAGGCATGTTCACGTAAACAAAATCTTTTATCGGTCTTGTCTTTTTCTCTCAGCTCGCTTTTCACCAGATAAGCAAGATCCATACACCCATAGAAAATCCCAGCTTCGGTTTATGGCAACATCGACGAAGTACTTTTAGTAGCCAAACCAAGCCCATAGGCGAATCGTATTGGTTCATCTAATAGAGGAGATAGTTTAAACTTAAAAGGTGTTTGAACATCTGCCTGGTCAGATGATAATTTTTTTATTGTCGCATTCAGTTTTGTATACTCCACCCTAACCCCTTTATCACCCCCACCCACTTTCATTGAACAACTGTCTGTGGGACCTTAGTATAGGGTATATACGTATTTGATACCTATCAATACAATACAATACAATTTTATTTCGATCTTTCGTCTACAACACAAATAAAAAGAACACAGACAAGGTCAACTGAAAGACCGGGAAAACGGGCAAAACCTATATAAAGGTTTATAACGAACGCTGTAACCAGCGATTGTGCCCATTCACCCATATTCACACACGTGGAACACACCAAGACAATCATACTAGAATAAATTAATGAACAGAGTACATGATCACGAGAAAATAAATTTCACGGGCAAAGCTTACTTGTAATGTTGTAAATAATTTTGATGAGTGAAAGTCGTGAAGAATACAAAAACATTTAGAAGTTATGTGACGGTTCCTGTGCCGAAATGCCAATAATAACAATTAATTGATTAGCTGCTGTTTTTTGTAAACAAACAAAACTAAAAAGTAAACAACAAACATAAAAACACGAAAACTAGTTTCGGGCGTTGCTTTGGTTCGAATTCGTAGAAATTGGAGTAAATGTTTTTATTCTTTGCAACGTCCAACATTCCGGAGCTTCCATCTTATTGTGTTGAACATCGATTGTTCCTATGAATTGTTTCTCTCGCATGAATTTACTGACCAATCCAGTGTCGGCAGCTAAGTCGATTATTTCTGTTTCCTCGAAGTCCCTTAGATTCAATCACTTGTTACAAGTAATCAACGCAATTCTTATCAAAGCAGCTCCAATGTATAAAAGCTAGTCTGTATTCAATCCTGTTTGTCCGGTTTTCGAAGTTTTAGTCCAAATATTTTTTCCTCCAGTAATACCACGTCCGCACCCGACGGCGGTCTGACGGTATCTGACCAAATGACGATCTGACAAGCGAGTACGAAATTCATTCTTAGATTCATCAAAAGGGGTGCATGCCGCACATTTGTGTTTTAGGCCAGTATGGTCTTGAGCATATATCCCGTCTTTAATATTAACAAGAGAGCGATGCTCAAATCTAGGGACACGCATAACAATTCCCCAAAAATCATACGTGGTGAATGAACAGTACCTGTATCAGGGACCGGAGTACCATGGCGGTACAGGGACTGTCTTAGATATTTTAGGTCATGTGACAATGATCCATTCTTCTTGATTATATTACAACATCAATTGAAATATCTCGTGATATGAGTCAACTATGTACCGTATTACCAGATCAGGTACCGAACCACAGTCAAACATTTTACATAAAAACGTTACTAAATAACATTCGTCAACTTAACACCACCTGAATCGGGTTACAAATTTTGATACAGTGACTGTCATAGCCGTTTAGGGCTGATGGACAATTCGACTACTCGGACAACTCACCAGGTCTATCTGTAGTCGACTTGTCTCTGGTGAGTTGCAGAGACTTTTTGTCAGCCGGTTCCGTCATAAAAGTAATATTTTTCAGTCGGTTCTGTTACAAAAAGTCATATTTTTGATTAATGCTAACCGGTTCGCTGATCTCATAAAATTCCGTGAGACGGTTCTATAGAACCCGCTGAATCTTACCACTGACTGCAACTGATCTAAACTTTGCAAAGTCTGCGGTATAACGTAAGCTAGCCCATTACTATGTTCAATAAAACATAAAAGTTACATTGTAAAATCAAATAGCACCTATGTATAACCAGGTTGAGTGCCAGGCGCCAGCACATCAAAACACTATGAAAACACTTAGCAGAAATGGCAGGCCTGTGGTATTGAGCACAAACAAAAGTCATATGAAGTAGAAGCCGCAACAATAACTAAAACACGCCTTTAACCAGCAAATATTTTTTGCATTAGTAAGACCGCAACCACCATATTTCAAAACATGTTGAACGTTGTTGAGAAGATTGTAAAGCTTCCTTCTTGGCATATTTGTTGTTTCTGTGTTGACAGAAGAACTGTAACAAAAGAGCAACAAGTTGAGCATAAACATGGCAGCTTTTGACTGCAAAAAATTATGTTATGCATGTTAAAAATCATTGGTGATGCTTCTTCCTTAGCATATTTCTGTTGTTTCCAGCAAAACTGTATTAAAAAAGCAAAAAGAGCATAAACATGAAAGTTTGAGAATAAAAGGATGTACGTTAGGTCAGACGTTAATTTTACTGCAGGTAAATAAAAAGATATACGTTAGGTTAGACGTTAATTTTACTGCAGGTAATGGCATCGGTAAATGAATTGACTTAATTTCACTGTCAAACATTTGATATGCTCAGCACTTACACTTGACTACTGCACGTGTTGAATTTTTGTAAAGTTTGTAATGCTTCTTTCTTTGCATATTTATGCATTTGTGATGTTACCAGAAAAAATGTAACAAAACAGCAAAAAATGAGAACAAGTATCGCAGTTGTAGGCTACAGACATGCTCATTACTGCATTACATTAATGAAGAAAAATAAATAATATTTGAATTTCTCTGCAGACGCACAAGACTGACTAAAAGTAAATAAATTCGGTAAGCTATGGTATAATTGCAAAAGTTCAGACAAAATAGACTATTCTTATTTTCACTGATAACTCTACTTTAGGTAGGTATCGTACCGTCCCCAAAAAAAATTTCCATTCCAACTAACGGTGGTACAGGTGGCACGGGGGGTCCCTATAAAAAAACTTTTAATTCCAACTTCCGCTAAAGCGGTACGGTACATCCGAGTCACTGCTGTAATAAAACCAGTAATCGAGGAGAAAAGCGATTTCTTCAAAACGTGTTGACGGAGACAAATAATAACATTAACAACAAAATTTTGAAACGATCGTTATGTCCACTACGTGTCCAATATCAACATAATATTGAAACGATCCTTATGTCCATTTCGTGTCCAATAACTGTCAACTCTTTTATATTGCCTTTACGAGACGAATATCCAACTTACCAAGTCTTATTTTGCACATTTTTTATCTCTGTTTTTATGCTCAAAATTACAGATTGTTGAAACAATTATTCATTCTATTTTGATACATTAATTGAAGTAAATGCATTTTAGGTCTTTCTAATTTGCACAAGTCGTTAATCTCGACTTTGTCGATAATAGTGATTGATGCCTAGAGCTACAATTTGGAAGTAATGAACCTTTCCCCGAGCATCGACTTCTTTGTTTATTTCGTGACATTGGCCAATCAGCAAGATGCAAAGAGTGACGTAACAATGTTTCCTTTTCACATCCGCCCAGACACTTTTCTCACTCAGACAGGTTTTCAAGCATGATCGTAAACATTACCTCGTTTTCGCGTTTTTTAACTATATTCGTTAGTTTTCAGTTGTGTTTCGGAAACTTAAGTATGAATCAGATAATTCAACGATCACTCTGTTTTCCTAGGAGTTTTAATTTGATTGCAGTAATAAAAAATTAGCGTAGAAATAGTTGTGATAGACTAGTCACTAGGCTAAAATTCTTCACCGGTACTTTCAAAAAACAGATTGTTGTAAGCGATGAATCACAATGATGGTTTGAAACACATACCCCATTTTACAGGTGCCAACTCGCAAAATCACTTTTAAAATAGTCCCGAAAATTTTGCAATGGTAGAGTATGGGAAGAATTTTTCGGGGGTCGAAGGTCGAGGAAAGACCCATTGTTTGTAAGTCTTCGTGCTTCGTGGCGGCAAGTTTAATTGAATGGTGAAAATTTTGAATCGTTTTTCATCCGCGCTATCATGAGAATATGACAAAGAAAGGTAATTCCGCAGAGCAGCATTTCTGTGAGAATAACAGTGTAAATAGGATTTTCTTCGACAAGCTATAACCTCGAATGAATCTCAATCTGTTGCAGGGAATAAAAACCATTGTTATTAGAGTCGACACGGACGAAAGAGTCGAGATTGTTGACATTGCCGAATTGTGCAAATTAGAAACACCGGTTATGCAATACTTTCGGCAATACATTCAATCGTGGAAACACTGATCATTAATTCAAACGTGGCATAGGTATGCCTATTTTGTCAAAAGTTCAAAAGAAAACGTCATAAAGTAAACCCCAGTTTTTTGCTCCGAATACACATAGCTCTGTGGTTTATCCATCACAGAATTCCAGCACGTTTGAGAAAAGGTGTTTGTATACGTACATTTACAAAATCCATCAATGTTAGTACACACATTGCAATGACTGGATGATCGAAGCATTTCGCATTTTCTATTATCTATTCTAGAGATCCTCTCGATATGTGGGCCTGGGCCTACCGTTTTGCCTTTTTGCGACATTTATTTGTTTAGTGCACGGTACTTAATGGAAGTTTGACAGCCTTTAGTTAGCAGGTGAACTCGTTTTCAATGCCAGATCAAACAATTTGCGTGAAAGATAAAGCTCAGTGCGGTTGTTCTGTGCGGCGTGGTTCAAGAGATATTTTGACGGATTTCTAATTACAAGTAAGGGGAAGCGTATTCAGGAAACTAGATAGGCTACTATTTTCCTGCAATCAGTTATGCTAGGGTATATCTTGAGCGTCACTCACGTCAAAAGTTACAATTGTCGCGTATATACATGTAGATTTTAATATGATGATAAAGACTCGCAGGTTCTCAACAGTTGGCATTTTCCTGAAAAATAATAACAATTTTCATACCGACATATCTGTCTATAGTCAGTAAAAATGCTTTTCAGAATGAAGTGTATAGGTATAGCTAGTATATATTGCAGAATATGTTAGTCAAATAGGTATCACAGAAATAATCGTTGAATAAAATTATCGTTGAATATGAAAATGCATTGGCTTTCACGACAAAATTTGATGGTAAATCATCGAACGCGACTTCCTTTATAATGCCAGTAATGAAAATATGTTTCAATTATTTTGAACGCCATATCATATTAAACGTATTTTTGTGATCTATATTAACCATTCAAATACGTACTCGGCGTACGTTGCCACCGATGTTTGAACTATCGAGATATTGTTTGCAAATACAATGGATTTAATTTGATTGAATAAACGGGTTTTATATTTTCTAGGTTGGTTTTATCCGTTACGAAATTGTCTGTAATAAGTAACAAAGACAAAACAAATAGTTCAAAGACGTATTGCCGGAGCAGCCTTTTTGACTGAAATTTACTATTTTTCATATATATATATATATATTCAATGCCATTAGCATTGATGAGCGCAAACGCGTAGATCTAAGATTCTAATCGATGACGTCACACCGGTGACGTCAATGGTTTAATAGACAGTAAACATAGATTTAGGCTTATTTAGGTCTCTAAAAATCGGGGGCCTACGCTTGCTATCTTTTCGATAATCTTAGATATAATAAAAAGCGCAGAGGAACGGTCAGTACGAGGCACTTACTATGCACATTAGGCGCTAGAAATAGACAATCAAATATTTTATAAATTCAAATCAGTCCGATAAGTATTGTGACATGCAGCTAATAATTATTGTTACAATAATAATATAATTTTAAAGATTTATAAAAATAATCAACGACAACGACTTCTTCCTACGACGAAATCATGAACAGCGATTCAGAAAAGCAGAGAATACAAGAATCAGAAATCAAATTATACAAGAGAAGATGGTTGATACTTGCACTGTTTTCATCTTACTCCGCGACAAATGCTTTTCAATGGATTCACTACAGCATAATCAGCAATATTATAACAAGGTAAAGTATAACCTAATTAGACACTAGAAATATTGATACCCTCATCTGAAATGTAATGAAATCTTTGAAAGATCCCATTCCTCTATGAGTATTTACTCCCTACGCCTACGCAGTGGTAGGCTGTTTGTCAAAGACTTGCCCGTAAAGAATATGTTTTACAGAACTGCAGAATGGACACGCTGTCACGTTTGAAGTGAGACGACCTCGTATAAGAATCTATACAAAGATTCACATACCAACTCAATTTCATATGGGTTTTAGATTCTACAACGTTACAACCACTACAACAGACTGGTTGTCAATGGTTTATATGCTTGGATACATTCCTCTGATATTTCCAGCAACTTGGCTCCTGGATAAGAAAGGCGTTCGTATCATTGCTATTTTGGGATCGTCTTTTAATGCACTCGGGGCTTTAGTGAAAATAGCATCAGCGGCACCAAATCTTTTTGCAGTTACAATGACGGGGCAAGTAATTTGCTCAATTGCTCAGGTTGGCAACGTTTTTATTTATCGCCGTTTATCGCTGTTCTAACCATGGCAGTCAATGTCTTTAGATGTAGCTAAAAATCCCTTAAAAACTTAAAATTGAAACTGCTGTTTCGATCAAAACCAGATGTTATTTGATTAATCTGAATGTAGAATGCGAGGCAATAGACATGTGGAATTTGACATTTAATACATATCGTTGGCGAAAAAATTGCAACAGATATTGAACATTGGCGTTTTTGATACTTTACCCCAGGTATTCATCTTGGGTATGCCCTCTAAAATTGCAGCAACATGGTTTGGACCAAATGAAGTTTCAACAGCCTGCGCGATAGCTGTGTTTGGAAACCAGGTGGGCTTTATTTATCCACGTAGGGTTATAATAACATGCCAGTCACGAAGAGTTCTAAGTTGATAGTCTCTGATTGTAGTTTGTTTATGTTTTGTCTGGCATGCAAGGGGATATATCTGAACTAGAGATGTACCGATGTATCGGTATCGGGTATCGGTATCGGCAATATCGGCCATTTTTTCGGTATCGGCCATGTATCGGTATCGGTTGAATTAAGGCCGATATTTCCGATATATTTATCTTTTTGATATGGTCCAGAATGTTTTAAAAGATAAGTTGGAATACTACTTTTCAATTTATTTTTTGTCTGGAGAGATCGTGCGCTATGAGACATAGCCCACCCCCGCGAAAGAATAGGATTCACGTGTTTTTAGCTATTTATCAGCCAAACTAGTTCAACTAATTTGGCTATTTTCGCTGTCAATTTTTCATATTGACATTTTTAATATTACATAGTAATTATGAAGAAATATATCAACACAGCACATAACAAAAAGCAACTAGGCGCCCAGTTTTAAATCATACAGTGGAATTTGGGTCCTTACTAACGGCACAAGGACTTTTGGCACGGCTATAAATGCTGACTGTTTGTCGTCAAGTACGAGTGTCATTTAGTCCGTCGACATCGATAAACTAAATTTCGAAATTCAAAATTTATGATAGCAATTGTAAAATATTTTATATTATAAAATAGTAAAGTAAAAAAACATCCTCGACGGTTATAGGTAGGCCTTCTTTTTGTCGGTGCTGTTTGATATTCAATTTGGCTTTGACTTATTGTGTCGACGATTACGATTAGCCACGAAAAAAATATTTGTAAAATGATTTTAATTTGAACGTAGGACGGCGGCGCTAGAATGTGTGGGGATATTCGATATTCTTTTAAACTCGAATAACGATATTCGAAGGTCGCGATATTCATATCAAGTTCAAATTGGACATCCCGGCTTATGAGTTTCAATTGAACACCGAGATTACTAGCCTTACTGTACAATGTATCTTAATCAGTTGAAGCAAACACCAAAGATCAATTTCATATTATGTGATATATCTTTTTTTTCGATCTGAAATAATGTGTACCATGAACAACGCTCAAAGACCATTGTTTTAACCCGTCTGCCCTACACAGCACACCTAATTAAGTAATAATTACATAGTATCGGTATCGGAATATCGGTAATATCGGCCTTTTTGTAGTATCGGCGTATCGGTATCGGTATCGGCGTTTTTAGCTGGTATCGGATCGGTATCGGCGACAAAAGTGATATCGGTACATCTCTAATCTGAACTAGATCTATTTTTGTGCCGGAAATGTCAGTTTACTGTATTCAATTTCATATTGTTGTAAATAGGTAGAAGGAAGGGGATTCCAGTAAAATAAATTCTCAAAAACACTTCTAACATGGAGATTTCGTGAAAATGTGTGAATCTCTGATACAGCGAATGCAATCAGTATAGTAAGAGGGAAACACCAAAATATGTTTTATTTTTGCGCAAGTCACAATTGCGAACGATGTCCAGCAAGAGTAAATACTTTATAATAATGCCAAGAATAAATCCTATTGTTCAGTTCGCAATAGCGCAGAACTCTTCGTTACAAAACGCTTCGTTAACATTCAATAACTGTATGCATATACTCTCATCATATTGAATTATACAATGAAAATATATTTATTCACAGGTAGGGGTTGCGCTTGGTTTCTTGTTGCCACCGATAATAGTCCCGGATGTTGATGACGTAGAAGTTATTGCTGTTTCACTAAGATACATGTTTATCGGCACTGCGGCAATCACCACAGCCTTGGCTATTACTGTTATCTTTGGTAAGATTACAAAACAAAAATCAGCTGTGATAATGCGAATGGTTATATGGTTGATTGGATGAGTTTAATGCCCAATGGGTGTTTAACCGACACTTGCCTCTGGAAATACTTCTTATACTTCACCTTGTCATATTTTGAAGCGCATTTCGAAAATGTTTTTCGGGTTGACTCTTACAATTGGTAAAACATGTTCATTGCGCTTTCATTTTGTTTCAAAATATGTATGCCATTTAAAAGTCTATCGTAGCTATTTAGCGACTGGTTAATTGTCGCTGCGTCTAAACTAAAAATCTCCAGAAGACAAACGTGCCATTGAATTATTTGGCTAGGAAAACACGAAATGCTTGACAAACTGTCTGCCAGAAAAAGTTTTGAAGCGGCTGCAAAAACGTTAATTGTTGCATTATCGATAACTTCAACATTGTCGCGAAAATAAATAATGAATTCGATTTCTAGGGAAACTATACATACGTAAATAAATGAAGTTCACATTCTTAAGAACTGGAACTAATGAACGAAAATGTTTACTCAGAGGCTTAGAAGCGTGTTTTGTTTAATGTGTTGTCATCGCATGCCACGGATGTTGGTTGGTTGGCAAGCCTACGTGCATCAAAAATTAGATAAGCTACGCTAAACTATAATATCAACTCATATTTCATCATTGCATAACTCACAAGTTTTTTTTTTACCTCTGAAGGGTTGTCTGGCCAAAGTCTTGTTATAAGAGGTCATGTACATATTTTGCAATATATATATAAACTGAGGTGTAACGACGAAATTTTAGTTTTCAGTGCAAAACCTCCCCTGCCTCCTAGTCAAGCACAATTACAGTTTCTGCAACATCATGAAGAACAAACAATGTCGTACTCCGAGTCTATTAAAGAACTCGTTTCAAGTGTTTCTGTAGTGTTTCTTATAGTTTCATATGGTAAGTCTTTCATATTATCAATAATCACATTAGGATATTGAATCATTTTTTTTAATCATTTATTCAACTTCCTTCGTGCTTAAAAGCACTATTGGGCAATTACAGAGATATCGTTATAATTAAGATATCCAGATAGCGTTCCATACCCTAACCCATTTTTAAAAAGATATATATATGTGATTGGTATTATATTAGATACAGTTTGCCTTTGATCGAATGGCTCCATATTTTTGAGGACAAGACTTTTAACTTCTTCTCTACATTGTGGGATAATAACTGAAAAAAAAAACTCTTTGTTAATAAGATCTAATAAATCTCACGCACAGGGGCGGCGCGTCAATAGGGCCAACCGGGGCAACGCCCCGGTTGTTTTTTCGGTATAATAAAAAATATTCGAAAAATACCTCAATATCGGTTGCACAGACTGTCTACACTAGCCATATTCTCCCGACATGGTTTATTTTTCGCTCGCAAAGCCTTCGCCGAACGTCGACGGGGCGACGCCGATTTTGCCCCGATTGCTCATTGTATATCGTATTCTCTCTTTTATCTTCCACTCGCCGCGTTTGTCTCGTTTGTTTTCTGTTTCTTTTACTAAATCATCGGGGCCGATCGGGGCTAGCCCCGAAATTATGACGACACAATGCCGACGTTTCTTACAACAACGTGTTGACATATTCACGCATTCCTTCTCGTTCGTTGGTTGCTTGAAGAGTTGATAGTTTCCTCGCCTTCGTTTTTGTCGCTTGTTTCGCTATTTGAATCAGTTAGAGACCTTTAGTGCATTTGCTTTCGATTTTCCACATTCCTTTTGAGCCCCTCACTTCTTTCCGGCTTCGCATTTCTTAGCCTTAGACCTCATAATGAATGAGGTTGATGCACTACTTCGCACTCCCCGTAGATGGGGGTGACTTGGTCCCGCAGTAGCTTGCCCCGGTTGTCAAAATGACCACGCGCCGCCACTGCTCACGCACATAGTTTATTACGTTAAATACTAATTAATCTGCACTCCTACTCGGCGAAAAACAGTTTTCAATTGTGTTTGTCAATTTTCCTGTCTTTAAAGCGTGATGAAATTGTACAAACAACTATCACAAATATTCATATTTCCAGGTGTGAATACTGGATCATTTTATGCTATTTCAACATTATTAAATCAGGAGATTCTCACATACTTTCCGGTAAGAATATAATTTATACTATCGTATAAACGCAAAATTTCATACTATTTGAAACTTATTTTAATTTTCACATGATTTTTCTTATTAAGGATTAAGGCTATTTTCAATTTCCATTTACTAAAAATCCCCACAGCTTTATCTCAACTGCAGCAAATTTCAGTTCATATTGTGGTGAAATTGGGTTCGTGAGCGATTCGTGATACAGTATTTGAAACTGAGTGCTGGATCATGAACTGCAGTTTCGTTTGGCGTATCTATGATAAGTAGAATCTCCTAAATCGCGATTCATGAGTAATCCGAGTCTAGAGAAGAGTCAATCACTGAGTGTAGTCACACTGGCTGTTAATTGATTACAAGTCTGATTCATTCCATTTAGATTTTAGATGACTGGCTATTACTTACTTGTTTTCTTGTTTCCTGTGAAATTCTATCACTTTTTCACCGTTACAGATCTTAGTATTTGAAATAGAAGAATTTATTCCCATATTTCCATGTGTTTAATTCTGTCCATTTTGCATTTATTTCAATAGGACAGCATAAAGGAAGCAGGCGAAATTGGTCTTACTATGGTTCTTGCAGGTATTGGTGGAGCAATATTATGTGGAGTTATACTCGATAAAACAAGAGCGTACAAGTAAATTTTTATCAGAAAATCTGATTTTATTATTCACGATAAAATTAAAAAATATCTGAAAGATAGCAATCGCTGTGTGACTGGATGACATAACGTTTTAAGACAATGAGGGCTTTGGACTTTGGTAACGCCATATTCACTTTCAATCGGTGAAGGTGTCCTGATATTTTGGAATTGTCGTTTGTAATCATGGTGCATACTTTCAATAAAAAGCCTCAATTTTATATGAAGAAATAAAATGATTCAAATGTAAGTTTGAGTAATTTGGATCTCAATGTAAAACGTGATATTTATACTTAAATTTTTCATGTGTAAAAATAAAACGATAAGAATTATATAAAACACAATCCCCAATGAGTCAATTCATTTTTCACTGAAACCAGTCTCTCCTTTTTATGATTATCATGCAAACTGTCCAAAGTTGGCATGAATTCAAATATAAATCGTTTACACTGGTTGGCAGCGGGTTGTCGAACAACAGCACGAAATATTATTGAATTGATTTCAGATTAACAACGACAATTGTTTACATCATGACAACAATATTTATGATAATTTACACAAGTACTTTGTCAATTGGAATGTTGTGGATTGTTTACGTAGCCGGTGCCGGACTTGGGTAAGTCATTTGTGAAACTGTCGATTCTGAGCTCAAATAGAATAAACGAAAGTGTGTTGGGCAGGTGAAAAAAGCCATGCGCGCAAGGCGAGAAAGGATGCTTTGTGAAAGTCCTAAAGCTTGGCACTGCAAGTCAATCCTCAGAGTTTAAAAATGTTCGAATATAAAGAAAGTGGTGCTCGGCTACCACTGATCCTTTCAACGTAATAGCCTTTATATTTTAATACTAATTTTACTGCATTATAGTAATTGTTTATATTTTTGGCTTTTTCAGATTTTTCATGACGGGATATTTGCCGATAGGTTATGAATTTGCCGCTGAAATTACCCATCCTGTATCCGAGGGTAGTTCATCAGGCTTATTAACCGCCTCAGCTCAGGTGAATATTTTGGAGCACTAAAGGTTTGAAAATGCAATGTGGCATTAACTCCTAACATAACGTTATACTATATGATGCCACATTTTGTTTCCTAGCGTCATATTTTGTTAATTTCAGATCCAAGTTTTTTTTTGGATTATTGTAAATATTCTAGTGTTAAAATAAAATCCAGATGTCGGCATAAAATTATTGTGACCCCGTTGATATTTTGAAATAGATACCATTACTAAAAACAACAAAGTCACTGGAACGTTTGACTAATCTCTTCCTCAGTATTCAATTGCAGGATCTCAATCATCCTTAACGATAGTGGCTTTTATACTAGCTAGGGTTATAAGTAGGCTTACCATACGTCCCGCTTTAGGCGGGACAGTCCCGCTTTTCAGCGTTTTGTCCCGCCGTCCCGATAAGTCAGCCAAAAGTCCCGCTTTTCCAGCATAATACTCAAACATGTTCTCGTTACTGTTGTTTCTGTGTAGCGCAGCGCTAGCCTACTTACTGAAGGTGAATGCGTTCGTTGTCCGCTGATTCCCATTGATGGCAGACATATCGTATGTAAAACCAATACTAATTAGTCTAAATTCGAAATATTTGTACCGGTATCGTTAACGTCAATTCCTTCCTATTTTTCAAACTGAACCCGATATTTGGACAGAGAATATGCGCATGAAATTTCGATAACAATATGGTCAGTAAAGACAGCCGAGACAGCTTTAAATGTAGGAATGTAGGCCTATGTAGTAAAATCGGAAAATGTGAAGTTATAAAATCACAGCTAAGGGGTCGTTGTCTTTCGAGGCGTCCCGATTTGAAGTCACAAAAATATGGTAACCCTAGTTATAAGCAATATAACTTTTCACCTGAATTTATTACCTTCAAGAGGTTTGAATTTAATAATATCATAACACGACAAGGTGATCTTAACATGTTCCTTGTCAAATATATTCCAGGTTTTGGGGATAGTATTCACGGTGTCAATGGGACATATCATACCCATCGGTGGAGTTTTAGCAGCAAATATATTCTTATCAGTCATGCTGGGCGCTGGCACATTTTTGACAGGTAGAGTTTTGAGTTTCTGTGGTGCACGGGAGAGCAACGAATTCTATAATACAAATATTTTAAACCGTTTTGGAGGACCCAATTTGAATACATCGATATGAATATTTATATTCTTTCTTTCAAATATTGTCATTAACAATATTTTTTGTTTTGTGAATTCGCTCACCTCAATCGATATTATACTCTTGCTACAATTATAATTGGTTTGCAAAAGCAAATAATTTTTATTTGACGAATGGTCTAAAACTGCAAGTTAGTTAGCAAGCACATCTGTATCACTGCGCCAGTATCAGAGCCATGTAGTCCGAACCAGGAGTCGAATCTGCCGCGTGGTTTGTCACACTGTGATTATATACTGTATACAATAAATAAAAACTATAAAATGCGCACATTGACTTCAAAGTATATCCGCATAAAATTCATTTAAACTTCATATTGTTTTAGTGCTTATTAAATCAAATCTCAAGCGACAGAATGCCAATGCTCGAAGTGTCACACTTGAAGATAACAAAGAAGGTCCAAGTCCTGGAACGAAATTTTGATATCAGAATTGTTTTCAATGCATGTTTTTTTAAGAGATTATTGGACTCGAAGTGTATCTATGAATAGTTTGATTTTGAATTTTCATTACTTGAATATAGAATCAGTCAGCAAGAAGCGATTAATTTTCTTTGGGGCCGATATTTCAACCTGAATTTGGCTGGGTTTTGCTATTCGCAAGCACGCATTTATATTACATTAGGTACAATTGTTTACAAATTGACATTTGGTACAATAGTCAGGAATAGTGTCATGTTAAATATTTGATCCTCCTGTCAAGAATATATTGGAGCATTGCTGCCTTGTTTCATTTTTTGTAAAAAACATGGAATTGTTTTGCTTAGTTCACGGGATGCACATGGGAAGTAGACAATTACAAGTTACGCAATCAAAAGAGAGGATTTATGTCAACAAACAATATCGGAGCATCAAGGAAAGAGTGTAAACTATGTCGTCATAATAGTCTATGAAAGTTTCTTTTTCAAGTTGTATGTCGAATATCAGATGATTTATGTATAGTTTGGTCCATTTAAAAAAAAAACAGGCTGGTATCGACGCGCTGATATTTCGAATATATTATAGATTATTAGGGCAGCTTTCATTATCCGATAGCATATGCAGAGTACACAAGGCTATGGATTTAGTAAAAATAGTTTTTTTAATATCTATGTTTCCCGTTGTCTTTGTAAATAAATGATGTAATGCAGACCGCAATAAATATTATTTTGTCTAACAAATTACATTTCATGGCACCTTGACATTGTTGTCGATTATTATAGTAAATCAGATTCGGATAGGAGAGGATTTACATCTTTATCCAGGTGAAGAGGAGATTCAATAAGACTACTTAATCGTACGGCGATGGTGGAGGTGCCGTAACAGACTTGCGGTTTCGTGAACCATACTATGACGACGAGGAGTTCAGCAATCCATTCGCACATAATCATCCCCACGAGATTTCAACCTGCGAACCCACGCTAGGTACTCAGAGGTGCGGTTGCGATGCACCACACCGCCGAGCCGGATATAAATTTTAACAACCTACCACAATGACCTAGGAAATAGATTTATAAGACTTAATGGAAGTGTTGAGTTGACCAGGAGTTATTTGAAATTTTTTCTTTCGTGGTCATTTGTGAACTGTAGAATTGTTCCTCGGCGCTGTGTATTTTGAGAGTAATATCCAGTAGTTGATCCGTAAACTTACCTGAACTTGGCTAACTCGCGAACTATTTGTATATGTTGGGCACAATTAGAGTGTTTTTTTTATAATACCTATTCTTGAATTGAACATAATTCGCTCGTAATCCTCTTGAAAGCGGGGCTTGCAGTCACAGTTATAATCAATGTCTTTTAATAAGGGGCACAGTCTCTCGAAAGCGGGGCCTATAGTCACAGTTATAATTAATGTCTTTTAATATGGGGCTTTTTGAAAATAGGCAAACTGTGCCGTACCATTGAGGTGTATATAACCTCAATGTGCAGTACCGGTACTGGGTACGGGTACTAGTAGTTAGTTTCACTGTTCGTGTAGGATACCCTATGGTTTTCGGTGAAGTGATGACAAATATTTTTACGTGTCCATATATTTGAGCATAGCTCTCTTGTTTGAGAGATTTTAATAATTTTGACTGAGAATTTTAAAATCAGCATCTCTTAACTTGTCTAACGTAACTGACAACGTTATAGTCATAGAGACGATCTAGTTTACTCTTGACGGAATATGTATGAATGCTGTCATCAAACCTTTCAATGGTAATAAAATGAGCCAAGACGTTCTACGAAAAACTAAAAAACCTTTACTTATAAACGTTCCTAACGGGCTAAAATAAGGATTGCAAAGTTTTCGATATCAGAAGTGATTTTCTCGTGGAGTCGAAAATATTCACAACCTGGAGTCAAAATCAAAACTATTTTAGGCCGGAGCCGAAATTATTTTCAGTTGGGAGTCAGAGTCGATTGCAAATTTTCAAGGACTCCACATCCATGAACTGCGCACCATATCCTTAATTTGGGTTAAACATTGCCAATAAAACCTGTTCTTTATTTACTTATTTAATTGCTGTTGTCTGATTTATGCTTATTCCCACTATAGGGTACGTTTGAAATGAGGAAATCGAATACGCATATATGTATTTTTATGTAATTTTAAAAAGTTCCTGAATCAGCAATTCGTGATTCAAAAATACAAGATGAATTTATTTCACATAATCCTTCGTTTATTTTCAGTTCACATTTATTATTTTCAATGAAATCATTATGAGTCATTTTCAAGCATGATCAACAGGATATTTATAGATTCTCTGTAAACATTACAACTCCACATTGCAAATGAGGTAGAATACTAATTTCAGGTTTGAGGCAGATAATTATTCAAACATTTCACCAAAATTATCATCTTCTGAAATTTATTATTTTCTAAAAACTTCTGCACTGCTGAAAATTCAAGTAGTGCCCAGAGTTACTGCTTCGGATCTCATATGAAAACAATTGCTAGAATATTAAAATCAAATAACACTACAAAATAAATTGTATGTCAAAATCGCTCAGATTTTACTATTTTTTCTTTTTTGAATTTTTGAAACCTATCAATTATATATTCGAAAATAAAATAGGTGTTTGTTGTCTGTTCATTTGCAGACAATCAAAATTTGGTACTGAACTAAGATTTTCATTGGTTTGCCATTTTATTAACAAAAACTCATAAAGTTGAAAATAGTTTGGAATTATGAAGAAAGATTGTATTGCGCAATTGATTAGCCACAATGACTAAGTTAATCCAATATTCCTGCGATTACAAAAACAAAAAATTATTGTTTATCTCGTTTTGCATAACAACAAATCCTTTGATTACTCTTTGTGGTAAATTAGGAGCCCAAAATAAATATGATAAATAAATAAAGTTTATATATAGGAAATAAAAAAGTGGTGGACTAGTGAAGCCTGGTACAAAGTAAGAATATTAATGGTATAAAAAGGGCGTCAGCGGTTACAATAAATTTCATTAATATTGCGGTTGTAATCTATGACAATTACCATTAGTGTTACAGATTATATCGTGACTCAGTTGTAGGTGACTAATAGAAGGTAATACCATTAGGTGAAATTGAAAGGAAGCCAGCGGTGACACCAAATCTGATAATGGTTGAAATTGATGGTTGTAATCTTTGCCAATTACAAACAATATTACAGATTATGATGCGACTGTACAATATTATAACTGTCATAACTCCGCATTTGTTTGGTAAACATTCGCTCTGAGATCATATTTAATTTGACCAGGTTGGTGAATTTAGGTATTTAGACAAGATATCTTCCAAAAAAATTCAAGACAGTACCACGGGCAAGGAATATACGTGGTCGTTGTACATGGATGGATTAATCTCAAACTTCGCCAATACAATACAAAGGATGGGAATTCAGAATAGTTACCAAAACTTCAAATAGGATTTGATGTGCAACGTTGAAGAACTACAAATGAAACTTCACCTTATTACATTGAATTCACTTTTTGTTGCTGTTCTTACTGGTGAAAATGCGACATTGGCCAAAAACATGTTTTGAATCAAAATTGCATAACAATAATTCACGAACTCAATATATATATTCGAGGAATTGCATGTTTGAAAATCCATCAACACAAAAAGCCGTGGGCAATTTTTGATGAAGCATTTTCGTTTAGTTAAAAATCAAGTTTAAGATACTGCAATTGAAATTTTCAAATTAATGCGATAAATACCTGAATTTCATAAGTGTTTGCTAAAACGCGAGAAAAGAAAATTTATGACCACTTGCCTAAAAACTAAATACAAAACAAGACAAATAAAGACATATTTATATTTTTCATTATTATATCGTTCTATCATCAGTGAGTTGTTATTTCATATAGCTTTTGAAGAAAACACATAATATAAAAACTGCGTAAAAACAGCATATAGCACTTATGTACACTCATGGAATCACGGAACAGTAGAAAGCACTTATTTTAACTGGCTCAAAATTCATACTCATATATATATATATATTAGTCAGCCAGAGGGTTTCGTCAAATTGCTTTTAGGTATGCCGTCTCACTTTTTACTATTGCCTTACTACCAATATGTCGAAGAATAATAAAGAGAAATAAAAAAATATTGGATATAAAAACTTCTTATCTTTCCCGGAAGACGGCATTTTGATTTGGTTAAGGATGTTTTGAGTATAGTAATACCAATGAGTCTCTTGTCAAACATCCACGTGAGTACCCCATTCCCTTTATTTTTGTCAAATTGTCGTTGAGCTTTCGAACATTATTTAAATTTCACTGATTCCGAAAAATTGCAACCGTGTGTCGCGATTTGACATTTACGTCAATTTATTTGTGCAATGTTTTCGTTCTGTTTGACTTTTCCCCTGGCACTGATTAAGGCGTCGAACTTCACGTTAGTTCAAAAGGAAATTTGACAAATATTTTTGTCAACTAACTTTACCTAAATATTGTCTCATTGCACATATTTTTACTATTTATCATCCGTTTTTATGCGTTCTTTTTTCTCCAACTACAAGACCAATAGCATTTTAAAGATTTGATGGTTGCAGATAGGTGTGTCTTTCGGAAAACTATTTTCTCTGGACTTCCGAACCAGTCATTTTAACTAAATGTTAGTGTATTTTAGAAAAGTTTTGTTTTTAACGGACGGAGTATGGTCGAAAATATTTCGGAGAATATAACGTATCATAATATGAATTAAAATTTGGGGGACTTATCAGACTAATATTGCCGAATTTGTGATAACAGCAAAAACGAGAGCATGGATGTCAAAGGTTATATAAAATAGGGTTCGTCTATCGAAATAAAATACAAAATCCTGAAATATCGAGCAACGAGGATACGAAACGAATTGGTAATAAAATATAAAAGTCATAGCCTTTTAGAGGCTTCTTCCATCTTCACGTACCTAGATTTTGAAGTTGAATAGTCCATTAATTGAGGAGAAAGTGAATTTGTCACAACAACAATGAATGGTCTATTGATCCATCTCGTATCCAAAAATAATTATTGTCCTAACTGCACATATTTTTCCAATTTGTCATGCGTTTTCGATGTTTTGTTTCACTTTCATTTGAGATC